AAGATTCAAAATCAATGTTATAGTGCGGTATGGTATGTAATCCCGTAGGATTTCTTTTTGCTGTTTTGGCTTCAAAAGGGTCTCAATCGGTCAAAAATGATGAGGTTCAAATTTTCAGACCCCTCCTTCATTTCCACCGGGGTCCATATTGGGCGCCAAAATGGCTTATATAACATATATAACACAAAAATCCTACGGGGGCTGTTTCAGTGACATACCGTACCACACTATTATCCCCCCCCCCCCCCCCCCCACATCGAAAATTAGGTAACATTTATCCCAAAAAAATTGAAAGATTCTATATTTATGATACTTTCCTAGTTTTCGTTAATGGCGTTTTTTTAAAGCCATATTCACGTGATTTACCTGTGATATAAAGGCGGCAACCCTGCATAGAATTTATACCACGTGATCTCCCAAGTAGTGTCAGACACCCGCCCATGGGGTACAACGGACATGCGCACTTCGTTTCCAACCTGTGACGTCATGAAGCAGGTGTTCAATGTTGAATGGGTACACTCTATCCCTGGTGCAACGCTGAGCAAAACAGTTGGGGCTATAAAAAAAAAAAAAAATGATATGTAAGGGGCAGTTACACTGTCATCCAAACACGCCAAAAAATGCCAAACCGGAGCCTGGCCGCGATGTTACCAAGGGCAACTACGCTTTACCGGCAGACATGCCAAGCCCCAAACATTCCAAAACGAAGTGTGATCTTTTGGCGTGTTTTGGCGTGTTTTGGCGTGTTTGGCAAGTATAACCGCTCGCAGTTGTAACATCGCGATGTTAGGCATGTGACTTCCGGCACTTCCGGATTGTTACCCGCGCTCTTTTAAACCACGTTCTTCCCGTGTGATATTTATAGCATTTCCATCGTCGCGCGTGTTATCCGTTCATTCAGCTCCGTTTGTTCCAATTCCGTTAACTCATCCTTTATTCAATCTTCGTTATTCCCGTCTGGCCATATCTGTCTAGTAGTAGTATTTGAGTGTTTTGTTAGATTAATTAATATGGAAGTGAACAATTCCCATTGGACTGATGATGAGATGAAGTTCTTGATTTCGATGTGGAGGCAGGGAGATCATGAGCTCTTGCTGTCGCCTCATAAAGTACCTAAAAAAACGAGCACGACGATCACTTTCCCTACGACGTCGGCGAATTCTCATAATTCCAATTAACAACGATGATTTTCTTAACCTTCCCATATCGTTTTTACTACTAGATTTCGATTGAATTTGGGAAAACTGAATCAGCAGCCGTAGTCCGTACTTCGTAACTTATCCACTCTTGCCTCAAATACTACACGCGAGATAAACAAAACATATCGCATGCATGCGCATGGGATGAATCGCTATTTAGCTAGCTGGAAATTGCGCGCGCTAAAAATCTTATAGCAGGCCGGGGTCAAAGGTCGGGAAGACTGCACATGCGCATTACCAACCGAAACACGCCAAAACATCGCTGAACAGCTCCGTCGGTGATGTTTCAGCACAAGTGTAACCGGGTGCACGAAACATCGCGACTTTTCAAAATGAGGTATTTGACAGTATAAATGCGCCTGTAGATGCAGTGTAACCTGTCTATAAAGACCACCCAAGGGAGACAAGAAAAGTGGTCTTCATAGGCAAGTGGTCTTTATGTACAGGTTCCTTTAGTACATATTTCAATGAGAAATCATTTTCAAGGGAAACACAAAATGTGTTCTTTGCAGACAGGTGCATGGTCTTTCTATACAGGTGGGTCGCTAAAGTAGGTTTGATTGTAGCGATTAGTTCAAGCGTATGCCTATTTAATACAATCTCACAATCTCTGTCATGACCAATTAGGAGGGAACAATCCGAATATTTTTGAAGAAACAAAAAGAGAGAAGAAGAAGGATTAAATATGATCTATGTAAAGTCTTTAAAAAATGATAAGGAGTAAGTATCATATTTCTAGCTGGCTCTTTCTATCAAGTGCTTAAACAAAAGATAAAGTATTTTGTAGGCCTGCGTATTCAAATAATAAGGAAACAAAGTTTCATGATATATCTTTAATAACAAAAGAAATAGTTTGGCCAATTATTATGTCAAATCACAATTTGTTTTAATTATCTAATAATTTTGTTTAAACCTCTTGTATATACAATGCGAATACAGATTCATAACTTCATACATCTGTATAGCGTTTCTTCGTATTTCTTCATACCCCATTTATATTTCCACCTCCTGCGCCAATTAAATTTAGCTCATCAATGTGTTTCTCTTGTTGTTGTTTATTCAATTAGTGCTTCCCGAGATGAATGTTTATTAGTTCATGTTGATTATATACGTATAGCCTATTTGTGTCAATTACGCTCTTTATATTTCATCAGTGAAAATCAATGAACCATTTTGCAATCGTTTTTAGCATCATTGAAAGTCTCAGTTATAAACAAGATATCAGGGTCACTTTTAAGTGAAATAGCCATCACGTCTGATTATCAGAATCGATTTGATGAATAAATCAATGTTATGGATGTACAGTGCGTCCCAGAAAAAACGAAACCGAGCATTGTCGATGTTTTATCATAACTTATTCACGATTATAATTAATAAATGACACATAGGGTCTATTGGTAAATCTTAGATCCTCCTCTTTGATGCAATTCATATTATGATGCATATTTCACGCATCAGTGATTAATAAATAATTTGAAGAAAGGGTACAAAAAAAATCACATTTCTAGAAAGTTCATTTTCTGCCCTTTCGTATGACACCTCAATCAGGAAAAATGAGCTAGGGAAAACAAAGTTTATTCTGTTTGTTTAAAGGAATGCTGGCATTTCCATCAAACAAATTCGTTTTCACTGACTGCCTGCCGTAGCAACAAACAGAATTGACAACAGACTTAACTCCATTTCGTTGACAATCAGCCATAGACGAAAGACTTCATGCATTGCTGATTGTTAAAACATCTATAATTCTCCGTTTAGTTTTTTTTCTGGGACGCACTGAACAATGATCAAAAGTTTCTCGTAATCCTCAATTATTTCAGAAAAGGAACTTACGACTGCATCCAACGTTTCCATCACCGAACCATCCGTTAGCGCATTTACATTCGTATTTCAGAGGGTCAAACTCGTCGGGTATGCAGGCGGCTTGGTGATGGCAAGTCTTGTGCTGGGATAAGCAACGTCCTATGTATGGATCTATAGATTTAACCACAAGATATACATGTAAATATAATGAATGAAAAGAATGATTTTTACATCTGTTGAGAGATAGAGGAGCGTTAACTCATGTCTTCTCTAACACAGAGAAAGAGGTAACGCCCTTCCGGCCACGAACAGAATTTCTTTGTGGGCCTATATATTCTACAGAATACCGAAAGAATAAAAAACAAAAAAGAAGACGGAAACAAAATGAGGAGAAAGATAAAGAAGTGGGGTTAAAGGGAACTTGAAATAAGATGGTGCTCCCCCCGACCACCCTCACCCTAAAACAAATGGCGTTGTTAATTCGCTGTTTATCTAGAGTCTATGGAGTAAAGAACGACGCTGCCCCCTCCCATACTTTTACTTTTAGATCCAAATCGACGACGATACTACTGGTTTATCCACACGTTGTGTATCCAGACAGGATGTCCATCCGGACGGATAATTTCAAACGGTATCCAAATTCCGATGTTCCGTGAATCTTTCAAAATTTATTGTGACGCCACGTTATACTTCAAATTCTACGCGATACTCAGCAGGATCCATAAATCAGGATGTAGTGCTGAGGAATAAACCATAATGGCCTAGGCATATTCCAAAAATGATCTAAATTGATTTAGTCAGGGCACTCACAACGATCCGAAATCGAATTTGAGATCGCGAATAATAAATAATAATCTTTGACTTAGGAATTCTTCAACGATAAATTTTCTAGTTGCACTAGATCTAGACTAGATCGTATTTGTAGTAACAAACTTTGCCGTCCATTTGGTAATAATTAAACCAAATAAATGTGTGTAGAACATGAGAAATCATGGATCGAATATCGCATTTCCAAATATTTTCAAAAATCTCTGCGATCTTTGGTCTGCCCATTATACCGGAAACACGTTGCATCTTATGAAAAATACTAAGTCTGCGGATTCCTTTAAAGTTTAAGTTAGGGCCATGTATTTAACTAGACTTCACTTACCGTTCACCTTCTTGTTGACGACACCTCCTTCTTCCAGAGTTATTCCCATGCTAAAAATAAATAACACAACAATGATTCGGAATTTCGTTCTCATGATTTTGTAGATAAACCATTTTGTTCAAAGATAGGATTTGGCGGTCTCCGTTTCTTGCACAGAATAATAATACCTGTCTGTGGTTAAACATCATAGCAACGCATTACGTCACTGGCGCATACGCGCATACTTAGCGCTTAAAAAAACATGAAAAGTGTACAGTTGTCAAAACCCTTTTCAAGTCATTGTGACGTAATGATCGAAATTACAAAGTCTATTCTGCTGCATCACCTAACCCGAAATGTGCCTTTGTGTAAACTCATGAAAATGAATAAATAAGATTTTCTTTTGGGATAATAAAAGATAATTAGATAAATTTACGGGAATTATAGTCCCCATCAACAAATTAATACACCCTACCCGCACCTCCAGTTAAAACTCAGACGAGTATTTTGGAGGACCAACCAACCATGCCAACCAAGAACCAAGAAAAAGCTCGCCTTTTTATCTTCAACACAACGGAAAATCATATCAGCGCGCGCGCAAAATATATAGTGCGCGCCTCAAAACTTCATGCGCGCTTCCCTTTAGGAGATGTGACGTGAACTAACAAAACGCGTGATTTCCCTCCGAAAATAGGTTAGACCGGATAGACTTCTACTTCTTTGTTAATAAATTCATTGATTTCTGTAAATAACCTGCTGCTTAAAGTTATTGATTTTTGTTGAGATGATCAACGAAATGGGTGCCTACTCATCGGCTGGTTATGATTGTTTAAAGTGTGGATGATAATTGATATCAGGCGATGAATCTGACAATGACTAGGTTGCTATGGTGGATCCTCTTCGTCTGTTTGGTGTCATCCAAGAGCTGTGAGTGCTTCAGATATTCTTAGTTACCGGGGTTAAGAAAGAAAAAAAGATCTAGATCTACTGCGATGGGGGTAAATTGTTTAACATTTATATTAAGTCTTATGATGGGAGGTCGTATGTCGGACGCTCAACAAAAATAAAGACGTCACTTTGGGCTTCAGATCACCTAACCCTTAAAAATATGCATCAATTGCACTAGATTCTAATCTGTTCATCATAAATATCTGTCCCGTTCATAATATTGCCTAATAGTAATAATATAGAAGATAATTTATAAAATATTGCATGTAAACTTCTTCAAATCACCGATTTTAATCAACTGTCCGGATAGTGGTGACTGGTTTAACTTATAAAACATTTTGGTTGTTCATATTTTTTATATGAAATGTGTTAAAACTTTAGTGTAATGTCAGCCTACTTTGGGGAGAGATTGAGGAAAATGTATCATTAATGTGTCGGTAGGAAATTATGGGCCTAGAAACGGTGTGGAAGGCGGGATGCCGGGGGCTGCGTGTCTGGATATTAAAACAGAGCCGTCTCTTTGCAGTTGAATTTTAGGGGAAGTGTGCATCAAATACCATACACCATCATAATAAACATGTGTCGTTTAATATTGGCCAACATAAGTTGTATTAGATTAATGAAATAATGCATGTAAACTTCTTCAAATTAATGTTTTAAACCAACTGTCCGGATAACCGACGCATGTCCAGACACGTGATTGATATGATAGCCAGTAGTAAAGTATGTGTTTAGATTCTGAGAAGAAGGGGCTATATGGGCTATATATGGCTGTAGCAGCCGCACATAATAAGTGGGGAGGGATTAGTCAAAGGATAGGAGAAAGGGTGAAGATTTTTCCAGTCATCAAACTTCCCAGGGGCATGGCCCATTCCAAATTTGTAGGAGAAAAAGGAATGTAGAGGGGGAAATGTGTGTTTTTCTGGATATCCCTAGAAATAGTTTTTCCCGCGGGAATCCATTTACCCCCCCCCCCCCCTGCCCGCTCCGTGAGAGTGTTTTTACACTCCAATTACTATTAACAGTAATCGTGAACCATCTAGCTTTAAAAATATTCAGTTGTCCCTCCTATTTCTGACAAAATTGCCTCTTTTTTTTACCAAAATCGCTTCATCTTTACAGAGCAATTAACAAGAAACCTGTTTTCATTAACTTTCTAAAATAATGAATTCCGATTTCCAGCAGTACAGACGGTTCCGCAGGAAAAAGCACCAGAGTGGTCGGTATGGACACCATGCCTAGCAGATCAAGGCCAATCAATGTCATACCGCTTCAAGACCTGCGGCCATCCAGACAATCCTCATCGTAATCAAACAGATCATCAAGCGCATCAAGGTTGTTCAAAGACAGTAATCGAGGTCGCTTCCCGCGTCTGTGTTCCCGCGTGCGAAACTGGCATTATCCAGCGGCTCCTGAACGATGACGGTCAACTACAGTCCATTGACCAGGAGGACGAGAACGTGGCTCGGTGTTTACAGATGGCTGCGGAGCAGAGTAAACTTCAACAAACATCAAAGAGATTGAAATCAAGGGACAGAAATACTGCAGTGCGTTATGACGAGTTTATGACTGGAATAGACATACTGTCGCATTTGTTCACTGCTTACACAAAACACAGGCCGTCTATGAAAGAGAGGGAAGCTATGGAGAATATCAGGATGTTACTAGCTCCTCAAATAAACAACTTGCAAAGTACGAGTGAACCTGGTAGGAAGGCGTCAGAGGAGACGGCACCCAGTACCACAAAAATGGAAAGACCTGACAGGCTACAAGAGCAGTTGGGACTCCTGCAGAATCGCCCAGAATCGAGAAATCATTTGTCAGGAGACGTGGGAGCACCAAACCTTAATGGTCAACAATCCCCTTTGCAGCGGCATCGCGTGAAACGTGATGTGGAATCGCTAGTCATAGCCCCTGTCGTGGTATGTGTTCATTTATTATATTTGGCGAAATATATTAAACATAATTTTATTAAAATCAAATTACGTTTATTGAAAACGAAATTACATTTTACCACCATTCATATGAAGATTTCTAAAGCATTGGCCTATTTGATATAAGTATTTCTAAATTGATGGATAGGATGGCATTGTTTTGTTTAAACTGTATTCTAGCCTGAAATGCTCTTGTCCAAAAACTCTTTTTTGATATTCAACTTTCATAAATATACTCAAATCCTGCCTGCTATATAGCTTTGAGTAGGCCTACAGATGTCTGAATTTGTATTTGATTTATTTTTGTCGACCTCGTATTATCCAGGATATCGAGGTCAACGGCAGTATGTTTTACCGAGTGGGTCAGCTTCTTCTACAGAAGGGACAGCAGATTAAAGGAGTTCTACAAAGAGGCATAGATACTGATTTTGCCAGCCATTTTGAGAGAATTGGAGAGGGGATTAGACGCCTTCTCTCTGGTCGCTGGAACAACTTCGTACAGAAAATCTTGCCTGATCGTACAGCTGACACGAACACCACCGCTCCTGTCACCGATGAACATCAACCATTGCATTCTTTCTTTGATAGACTGAGGGGTTTGTTGGTAAATATATTTGTACCTTCTTTGACTAATGATGAACTGAAAATAATACATTAGTTGGAAAACATTATAAATCAAATCAATTTTTTTTAAATGCATTGATTCAGGCCTGAATTTCGCGCAAGTTTCAAGGATTCTCTTCTATGAATGAAAAATGGATTCTACTTCATTTACGCGATAGTTTTATTTTGGACGTAACAAGAGTAAAGACAAACATTTGAATCAATTTTTTTTTTTTAATTACTAAAGGAATATAACTTAACCTGGGGCTTTTGCATAGGGTTTAACAACGGTTTAGCTTTAGACGCCACCCCACCCAATACACACACACACACACATCGTTGTGTAATGCTAATTTGTTCATTTAAATATTCCAGGATATCAGGAATGGTCTTTCAGGCGAATCAGGCAAACCTACAGTATCGGTCATAGAAAACAGCCACACCAACAACTCTCCGTTGCCGAATCAGGCAGCAGATGATCCACTCGATGTCCAGACGGCTTCAAAAACTGATCCTCAAAGTGATCGTAACAGTGTTCCTATCTCATTCCAATCAATAGACATAGTTTCAAATACAATCGGGAATCAGAAGCAATCAAAATCACAAAATGGTTCTGTAGTAGCCCTTGAAAAGAATGGTTTAAGTCCGGATCCACCAGAACCTCTGTTCAACAATTCAGATGTACCAGAACTGCCGAGGAGGGTTAAACGCGAAGACAATGGCATGCCGGATGTTCTGGACATGTTTCAAATTGTCAATACTAGCAAGTTCAGTTACCTCAATATTCCTGTCTTAGACGGCATTGGCAAAGCTATAGAAACGATGACTTCAAGACGATGGACTTCGAGCATGGAGAATGATATATTTGGCTCCCTTCACCAACTTAGTGAACTCGAGAACATGGTTATCTTTAAGAGATTTCTGAAGAAACTGCAAGGAGGTGTTTCCTTGGATATTTTTCCATTTGCAGAGCATTTGCGGGACCTGGCATCATCTATTGACCACCTTCAACATCTTAGAGCTATAGAAACGACGGCTTCTATCGGATGGACTTCGGGCATGGAGGATCACATCTTTGGCTCCCTTCACCAACTAAGTGAACTTCAGAACATAGTTACCCTTAAGAGAGTTCTGAAGAATCTGCAAGGAGGCGTTTCCTTAGATCTTCTTCCATATGCGGAGCAGTTGCGGGACCTGGCATCATCTATTGACAATCTTAAACATCATAACGTCTTGCGCACTGCGATAGAAACATTTGACATGTTGTACACAGAGCGATTCTTACGAGATTTGACTGGTTTTCATTCTCCTATTGACGTGTCGCGGTATCGTCAGCGTCTACGTAATCTCATTGAGCCTCTGCGACATCAGTACAAAACTCACGATCTTCAAACATTTGTGGATAGACTGTTGGAATCATACCAAAAGATCATCACGCAAATTGGTGATAATGAATTGGTTTCATTCATGAAGGTAGTACTCCGAGATGGTAAGAACTATAGCTTACATTTGAGCCGTTTCCAAGCATTATTGAGAAGCCTTGTCACAACGAAGAACAGTACTCATGGTCATCAAGATTTTGATGCGTGGATGCGTCAACTTCATTTGTTTAATTCATCACTGGGTCAGTACAACCAAACTATTTCTGGGACGCCAGCTAATGAGACCGATACAGATCAGAATATAACCTTGCATTCAGTAAAACGGCGTCAAGTACCTTCTCAACCTAACAAGAAAGGCAATTTTGCATTTCTCAACCATTTCTGGGACTTGAGCACAGAAGTTAAACAGAAAATAAACCATGTGATTTCGAAATTAGCATCGGCCACTCTGTTCGATATGATGCAAGCATTGAGACGCAAAGACGAACCACTGCAAAACCTACGCGGGTTGAGCAGATTTCATCGGTTGACTTCAGTCCTGGAACCCTATCAAAATATGAACTACATAGGAAAGATGTTACTGGCAATAAACAAATTTGCACCACAGGAGTTGAAAAAAAGATTACATGGATCAAAAGAGAGCAAAAGAGAAGTTCCATTTTCGCAGGAAAATTTATCGGGTGATTTCTCTGAGAAATATCGAAATGAAACCAAGCACCGTCTGTTAAGTTTCCTTGATGCGATACTTCGCATTGCACCGAATATTTCTTCTTCAAAGAACAACAACCGTCTCCTCGAACTTGCCACTCACATGAGCGACAACTGGTTTGGAGACCGTAGGAATGAGGATTTTCTTTATTACCTTTTAAGGAAAATGAACTATGTTCAACCGGTAACAGAAGAGTACGATATCCTTGACTTCCTCAAACATCTTCGAGAACAAAGTTTTTCGAGAAGTGACGTTAATTCTGCTCAGATGTTGGCAAATGTGATGGTCCGTTTCATCAGCAGAGAGGGTTTGACTAACAATACTACTTTGAGAAATCTTCTGAAATCGATTTGGTTTCCACAACATGGAACGCAGAATAAGACTTTTTATCAAACTTTGATGGATATCGTACAAAGCCTGAACCACATCAGTCACGATAAAGATGTCAATATGAAGCAGGCGCTGTCTAAATACCTAATGGCTTTGATGTATGTAGTAGGTGACGAGATTCCAAGCTTCGAGCCACCATCTGACCCGAATTTAGCTTTGATTGATTTTCTTCTACGAAATGATACTAGAAAGAATCCGGAAATAGACCGGCCAGCCTTCCATTCGCTTGCTAGATTAATAACGTCCATAAAAGGGAATTCATTTGATGTACTCGCGTTACAGGACCATCTCCAGAAACTCGGTGGGTTTCCACAACATGAAAAGCAGAATAAGACTGTTTACCAAACTTTGATGGATATCGTACAAAGCCTGAACCACACCAGTCACCGCAAAAATATCAACATGATGCAGGAGCTGTCTAAAAACTTGCAGTTATTGAAAGAACGCAGTTCTGTTAATAATGGAACCCTTGCCCGTTTTGATGACCTAATGGCTTTGATGGATGTGGTAGGTGACGAAATTCTAAGCTTCGGACCACCATCTGACCCGAATTCAGCTTTTATTGATTTTCTCCTACGAAATGATGCTAGCAAATATCCGGAAATAGACCGACCAGCCTTCCATTCGCTTGCTAAATTAATAACGTCCATAAAAGGGAATTCATTTGATGTAATCGCATTACGGGACCTTCTCCAGGAACTCGGTTGGTTTTCACAACATGAAAAGCAGAATAAGACTGTTTACCAAACTTTGATGGATATCGTACATAGCCTGAACTACACCAGTCACCGCAAAAATATCAACATGATGCAGGAGCTGTCTAAAAACTTGCAGTTATTGAAAGAAGGCAGTTCTGTGAATAATAGAAGCCTTGCCCGTTTTGATGACCTAGTGGCTTTGATGTATGTGGAAGGTGACGAAATTCCAAGCTTCGAACCACCATCTGACCCGAATTCAGCTTTGATTGATTTTCTCCTGAGGAATGATGCTAGCGAGAATCCGGAAATAGATCTGCAAGCCATCCATTCGCTTGCTACATTAATAACGTCCCTACAAATGAACTCATCTGATGTACTCACAATACAGGACTTTCTCCAGGGACTTGGTTGGTTTCCACAACATGAAAAGCAGAATAAGACTGTTTACCAAACTTTGATGGATATCGTACATAGCCTGAACCACACCAGTCACCGCAAAAATATCAACATGATGCAGGAGCTGTCTAAAAACTTGCAGTTATTGAAAGAAGGCAGTTCTGTTAATAATGGAACCCTTGCCCGTTTTGATGACCTAATGGCTTTGATGGATGTGGTAGGTGACGAAATTCCAAGCTTCGAACCACCATCTGACCCGAATTCAGCTTTGATTGATTTTCTCCTAAGGAATGATGCTAGCGAGAATCCGGAAATAGATCTGCAAGCCATCCATTCGCTTGCTACATTAATAACGTCCCTACAAATGAACTCATCTGATGTACTCACAATACAGGACTTTCTCCAGGGACTTGGTTGGTTTCCACAACATGAAAAACAGAATAAGACTGTTTACCAAACTTTGATGGATATCGTACATAGCCTGAACCACACCAGTCACCGCAAAAATATCAACATGATGCAGGAGCTGTCTAAAAACTTGCAGTTATTGAAAGAAGGCAGTTCTGTTAATAATGGAACCCTTGCCCGTTTTGATGACCTAATGGCTTTGATGGATGTGGTAGGTGACGAAATTCTAAGCTTTGGACCACCATCTGACCCGAATTTAGCTTTTATTGATTTTCTCCTTCGAAATGATGCTAGCAAATATCCGGAAATAGACCGACCAGCTTTCCATTCGCTTGCTAAATTAATAACGTCAATAAAGAGTAATTCATTTGATGTAATCGCATTACGGGACCTTCTCCAGGAACTCGGTTGGTTTTCACAACATGAAAAGCAGAATAAGACTGTTTACCAAACTTTGATGGATATCGTACATAGCCTGAACTACACCAGTCACCGCAAAAATATCAACATGATGCAGGAGCTGTCTAAAAACTTGCAGTTATTAAAAGAACACAGTTCTGTAAATGATGGAACCCTTGCCCGTTTTGATGACCTAATGGCTTTGATGGATGTGGTAGGTGACGAAATTCTAAGCTTCGGACCACCATCTGACCCTAATTTAGCTTTGATTGATTTTCTCCTAAGGAATGATGCTAGCGAGAATCCGGAAAAAGATCTGCAAGCCATCCATTCGCTTGCTACATTAATAACGTCCCTACAAATGAACTCATCTGATGTACTCACAATACAGGACTTTCTCCAGGGACTTGGTTGGTTTCCACAACAGAAAAAGCAGACTAAAACTATTTATCAGACTTTGATGGATATCGTACATAGCCTGAACCACACCAGTCACCGCAAAAATATCAACATGATGCAGGAGCTGTCTAAAAACTTGCAGTTATTGAAAGAAGGCAGTTCTGTAAATAATAGAAGCCTTGCCCGTTTTGATGACCTAATGGCTTTGATGTATGTAGTAGGTGACGAAATTCCAAGCTTCGAACCACCATCTGACCGGAATTCAGCTTTGATTGATTTTCTCCTAAGGAATGATGCTAGCGAGAATCCGGAAATAGATCTGCAAGCCATCCATTCGCTTGCTACATTAATAACGTCCCTACAAGTGAACTCATCTGATGTACTCACAATACAGGACTTTCTCCAGGGACTTGGTTGGTCTCCACAACAGAAAAAGCAGACTAAGACTGTTTATCAGACTTTGATGGATATCGTACATAGCCTGAACCACACCAGTCACCGCAAAAATATCAACATGATGCAGGAGCTGTCTAAAAACTTGCAGTCATTGAAAGAAGGCAGTTCTGTAAATAATAGAAGCCTTGCCCGTTTTGATGACCTAATGGCTTTGATGTATGGGGTTGGTGACGAAATTCCAAGCTTCGAGCCACTATCTGATCCGAATTCAGCTCTGATTGATTTTCTCCTAAGGAATGATGCTATCAAGAGTCCGGAAATAGATCCGGAGGCCTTCCATTCGCTCGCTAGATTGATAACGTCACTACAAAGTAATTCATCTGATGTATTCACATTACAGGACCTTTTCCAGGAACTCAGTCAAATAGGTGAAAGGTATAAATCAGAAGAAAAATATACACCTCGGATGGATTTCCTTGATGTAGTGAGGCTTTTAGTGCCAAATACCAAGTTTAACGGCAGCAAAGATCTTGCGATATTCGCCAACATCATGGAGCGTGCTAGATATTCGAGGAATAGTATAAGGGCACTTGACCATGTCTTGAACGCACTCAAATCCCTTCAAGAGGACAACTTGGAAGGTTTCTACCCCGTTTTTCAAAACATGACATTGGTTGACTTTCTTCAGCTACCAGTAAGTCTTCCAAATGGGGATCTCGGCAGTATACAAGATCTTGCAAATCTAACTAATCATATTCCTGTAACAAACAACACTGACCTACATGTGCTGCAACAGATAGTTGAGTTATGGACTCAATCCCTGGATAACGGTGATCAGAAAATCTCGCTCCATCCTTTGGTGCACCTGTTCCAGTCACTCGGTGATAACAACCACATCAAGGACAATGTCCAGGAGCTACTGAATCTCACTATGATCACAAAGCACCTCCACACAATTTCACCGGATAGTAGGAAGATATCGGATATTCTAAATACGTTACAGCATATCTTCGAAGAGAACTCTGACCAGTCTGTCGTAGAAGGTGACGAGCTTAACTTTATCGATATTCTTGATTCACTGATAGACAGTCGGGAAGGTCTTACCAATGTATCACAAATGGCGTTGAATGAATTCGATGGAAGTCTTGCTCAACTAATTGCAGGAGCCGCTTCACAGAGGCTGGAAAATATTGGAAATTTTGATGAACTATTGAGGGTAGTCTTTCATCCTCAACATTTGCACGACTTCCCTGAAAAGTCAGATCGACTTGCGGATATCATTGGTTCCCTCGGGAGGATTAAAGATGAAGAATTAGCCAATGGAATAAACCCAGATTTAGAAATTCTTAACAAACTGTTTTCAAATCTCCAGTCAAATGTCTCTACAGTGGAAGTTCTCAAACGTTTCTTACTGGACCTGGAAGCATTGCAATCGGGTACTTCATACCAAGAAAGTACAAATCCTCACATAGCAATGGGCTTCATGGATTCAATGCTGCATATCTTACCGAGTAACGAAATCTTAGACCGGGGTATCACGAATCTCCCGTTCCTCACCAAGCTCATTCAAGACAGCGAGGGACATCGATATAAAGGCAGGCTTCCTATATTGGCACAGTTTCTAAGGGACCTTCAGCACCTTCAGATGACACCATATTTAGGGGATTTGGATGTGTCTCCTGCAAACATTTCATACGCTGACTTCCTACAACTTCTGGGTGATGGTGGGTTCTCGGAAGATGAAGTAATTTCAATGCAGCAGCTAGCAAACCTGACAAATCACTTCGATAATGGGAACGCGTCAGACGAATTCTTACATTTAGTAAAACTGCTCGACTTACTTCAACCTCCACAGAAGAAGACAGCCAATGAACCAGAACCCCAAAGCTCTTCTTTATTGAACATGTTTTTAAATCCAAGAGACAGATACGACACAATCGCTGATATGGATGAGTTGAGAGGCATGATACCTTTGAGTGAACTTCTGAATGGACCTGTGAAAGACATGGTCGTCGACGAAATAAGGGGTTTAATTGACTCCAATTCAAATCGCCATTTCCTTCAAATCATCAAGTTAGTTCACTTCCTGCGGAATGCAATTCACAGGGGATACCATACCTCATCTGGTGATATGGGTATGCTACAAACGTTATCTACATTTGCGTCATTGTGGAAGGAAAATCTCACCTCAAGTAATGCCATTTCATATGAAAATCTTTTAAAAGACTTGGGCAACATTGAAAATGACCAGCAATATCTAGGACAAGGTGACACAGAGCCACTGGTGCACTTTCTGATATTAGCGCTAGGAAAGGATGATTGGAATCCAGTTGAATTTGACCGACTTTCGCACTTCGCAGACATGCTGGACAATGTGTCTACTGCCATCAATACTTCAGAAGTACAAAGGATGATGATGGATATGTGGTTCAAACCTCCCCAACATCCAGATCAAAGATACTTAAAATTCTTCTCAGATATGCAGAGCAATGTACATGTTCTTTCTAATGAAGATTTTGTAAAATTGAACGAACTTGTGAAGGCACATGCCGATAGTTTTAAAGAACATGACCCCAATGCACTTCCCGACGTTCTCAGCATTATTGGCGGGAGCGAAGATGAGCGGTTAAGTTCACTGATGCATTTCCTCGTTTCCCAGCAGTTTCCGGATTCCTATGAACCCAACGATATATTGATGATGCAAAATGTTGTCAACATTATCAAGCGATTCATACCAACCTTGACAGATGAAAATGTTGCAGAAATTACGAAACTGTTTACATCTCAGGTAGACCACCAAGGACCTTTCACAGAGTATCTTCGACTAATGCTGGCTCTAAGAGATGCAGCGGCAGCCAACCGTTCCCTAGATATGCTGACGGAATTGAAATCACTGACAAAGGGGTTACCACCATTTGGGGATAGAAGCTTAAAGTATGAGGATATGGAGCATGATATCAAGGATCTACTGAAGATATTCGACACTAGGAATACGGACCAAGGTGACGTTTTAAACTTTATCAATACCCTCGCCAAAGAGCCGTATCGACCCTCTTGGCCCTGGTCTAACTCTGTACTTCCTAAATTGAAACAAGTAGCATTTCATGGCCACCTACCTAAGAATCTTGGGGATGACATGTTGAGCAGTTTTGCTGGCATCTTTGGACAATCTCGAGCGGGACCAAATGACCAACTGATGTCACTGTTGGATGATGTGAAGGAGCATTTTCAGGATTCCTATGAACCCAATGATATATTGATGATGCAAAAGGTTGTCAACATTACCAAGCGTTTCATACCGACCTTGACAGATGAAAATGTTGCAGAAATTACGGAACTGTTTACATCTCAGGTAGACCACCAAAAACCTATCACAGAGTATCTTCGACTAATGCTGGCTCTGAGAGATGCAGTGGCAGCCAACCGCTCCCTAGATGTGCTGACGGAGTTAAAATCAATCACAAAGGGGTTATCACTATTTGGGGATAGTGGCTTGCGGTATGATAACATGACAAATGACATACAGGATCTACTGAGGTTATTTGACACTAGCAATACGGACAAAGGTGACATTTTAAGCTTTATCGACACCCTCGCCAATGAGCCGTATCAACCCTCTTGGCCCTGGTCTAACTCCGTACTTCCTAAATTGAAAGACGTAGCATTTCATGGCCACCTACCTAAGAATCTTGGGGATGACATGCTGAGCAGTTTTGCTGGTATCTTTGGACAATCTCGAACTGGAGCGAATGACCAGCTGATGTCATTGCTAGATGATGTGAAGGAGACAGATAATTACCAACCTTCCAGTATAGATGTCGTTGCTGAATTAGATCGTCATGAAACGATTAAACAGTGGATGAAAGATAGTAAGTCAGCATTACGATCCTACCTAGAATCAGTCAATGATGTCCTTGGCTCAGCTACCCAAAGCAACGCAGCTTCGTTCCTTGATTTCCTAGATTATACTGACATGTATAAGGATGCAGATGAATTCAATCGACCCATTCTAGATTTGAAGAACCTCTCAGGTATAATACCCCGTCCTCTTGGAAATGCAAGAGCGACGACATCCATTTACGAAGAACTTCTGAAGCAGTTTGGACCAGAAGTCCCACATCCGCCGCTCCTTGCCTTTGTTGATGCATTACAGGAGATGTTCAGTCAGCCAGACATCGACGTTTCAAACGATCCCACAAAATTGAACGAAATGGGTAGCTATCTAGAAAATATACCGCTGCCGATGACTACCGCTCTTGACGATATTCACAGCATCTTGATTAAAACAGAGGGAGCCAAATCATATCTAGATTACATGGAAGATATGCTAACTTCATTAACCGGGATTGGGACCGGAGTGTTGCCTAAACTCGAGTCCTTGCAGGATCTGGAGGACAATGGCTTAGTAGACTTACTGCAGAGATCATCCTCGCCATTAGTAGACAAGGCAATTCTAGATGATCTTGATAAACTTCTAGGTCAGAAAACTTCTGCAGAAATGTTTGCAGCCGGTTTGGAAGCCACACTCCAAGATGAGGGAATGAGAAATGACATAAACCAAAATCAAACCAGCGCACTCTTGAACAATTATCAGAAAGACATAATCAAGATGGTCGCATTCCAGCAATACTTTGGAGACTTAGGCGATATCGTGGACGTTATTAGCCAATATAGCACGTTAAAGGAAAGCATACACAAACCTGGGTCAGATATCCTGGACCTGTTTGGAGACGTGCAGGAGTTCCCGAATGAAACATCCACGGGAGAACTCTTTCAAGATATGCATACATTCCAGGAAAACATCACTGCCTATGGAAACGATCTTGAAAATACAATCCAGTTGTTGGCGTCGATCTTTGATCTCACCTCTCCCGAATTCATCAACGAAAATGAAATATTGCTTAATGCTTTTACAGATATCGCCATTCATTCGGAAAATATTACAAAAGATGAGTCAAAGTTACTTTATCAACGAATAGAGGAACATTTCGAGGAGCCTTCGGAGCCAAATTTCATGGAACTCCTTGGGAATATTACCTTGATGCTATTGGCTAATCCTGAAATTGAGATCGATGAACATTTCCTTAACGTGATTGAAGGGATTGATTGGACCACAGATATAAATCAGAAATTTAAAAAGTTACGTAATATTGTCGATGAAATGAGAGGCATTCAAGGGCTTTTGAAACAGAACGCAAGTGAAATTCTTCAAATGTTCACCCCTCTGTTGGTCCCTTCATCAAACGAGATAACGGAACAAGACAATTCGGACATGTTTGAACTTTTCGAGGGATTGGCGCATGTTGACGATGAGACTTCCCGTAATGTTACTATAGCTTTGCATGAAGATATCCATAACAAATTTCTTGAAGTTCCTTATAGCTTCTCGCGGGAAACAATAAGCGAACTTCTCTCCGTTATTGACACTGCATCTAGTGATAAAATGAGTGATAAGTTATTCCTTAAGCTGGTCGACAGATTCGCCGCCGTTAAGAATGATACTCATCAAATGAAGCTGGTACACCAACTCTTTGAAGACATGATGACAAGTGTGTCTTGGAGTTATAATGAAACGATGCCGAGACTCATTGAAGATATTCTGCATCTACATAAGAAGAAAAAATTGTTCCCAGTGTTGGATTTCATCCAGACAATTTTGGTAACGAATGAAACAGAAATCGAAAACGAACAAGAAAATATGAAGATATATGATGCAATGAATCGCCATGTAGCGAGTCCCGTTTCATTCCAAGACTTCACACGATATCTCGACAGCATCCAGGACGTTGTTAACTCTGAAAATAAGAATGACTTGATAGATGTCCTCGAGACAATCTATCCAGTCAGTGAAAATGCTTCCCGCAATGAATCACTAGCTTTGTATAAACTGATCACCAGAACGTTCAACGAAACTGTGTTCCAAGACTTCACACGATATCTCGACAGCATCCAGGACGTTGTTAACTCTGAAAATAAGAATGACTTGATAGATGTCCTCGAGACAATCTATCCAGTCAGTGAAAATGCTTCCCGCAATGAATCACTAGCTTTGTATAAACTGATCACCAGAACGTTCAACGAAACTGTGTTCCAAGACTTCACACGATATCTCGACAGCATCCAGGACGTTGTTAACTCTGAAAATAAGAATGACTTGATAGATGTCCTCGAGACAATCTATCCAGTCAGTGAAAATGCTTCCCGCAATGAATCACTAGCTTTGTATAAACTGATCACCAGAACGTTCAACGAAACTGTGTTCCCAAGAGGCCCAATTGAAGGCCTGGTGTCCTTTCTCTGGAAGGCTTCTCGAAATCAATCTCATCAGAAGATTCTTAATTCAAAAGCAGATGACATGCTTTTTCTTCGGTTGGTCGACAAAGTTAGAATCATCAAAAATGAGAGTCAAAATCGACTACTACTTCGCCGTACATTTAATGACATGATTTATCGAGCGTCCATGAGATATAATCGAACCATTTCAAGTATTCTAGAAGACATTCTCCTCCTACCTCAGCATGAAGAAATGCCACCAGTCTTGGATTTACTTCAGAAACTCGGGGCATCTAATGAATCGAGGATTGGAAATAAAGAAGCCAATTTGAAGATGTTTGATGATATGAATCACCAAGTACCAAATCGCTTTCAGCTACCCGACTTCACGCGATTTCTGAAGGATCGACAGTACTTGGGCGAACCGCGCGCTCCTGAAGTTAGCACGTTGGTCAGCTTCTTGCAAAATGCATCAAACTTTCGCTATCTTAAGCAATCTGAATCCAAATGGGTCGACTACTTCCGACTAATAACCAATACGTCAGCATCTGCGACCGAAGATGTGCTCAGAACTTTTGATACGCTGGGAAAACAGTCGCGTCAAGGCACCGCCTTGCTAACAGTTGATCAAGGCACCGAGCTAATCAACATCTTGAAGAACATATCCGACGGACAGTGGATTCACCGGGATGATTCCTCATGGAGAAGCATCTATGGTTCCTTTGAGAACGCATCTTCAGCCTCTCAAGGCAAACATCTAAATGAATTCATCAAGCATCTTTTCGGAGAAGTTCGGAACGAAGATTTATCAGATGGTATATTCTTGGATATGATTGAAGGTCTTCAGAACAAGAGTCTCTTCACGCATGATCGTGTTCTACAGTGGATGGAAGCCTTCAGAGCAATTAGAAAGATATCTCTTAAAGAGCTAAATAACACTCTTGGATCTCTCCTAGAAATCATGTCTAGTTTGGATGCAGTATTGGAGCGACCCCAACCATATCCTTCTCCTCGTGAAGAAATCTTGGGTTTCTTTCAAAATATAACAGAATTAAGCATGCCATTACAAAAGTCAGACTCCCTGAACAGTTTCAATGAAATGATACACCGCCTGAAACAAACAGAGGACAAACTTTATCCAGGAACTGTAAAAGGCAACAGACGGCTCCTTCTACAGTTGGACAGCTTGTTCAATCCGGAGGAATTTGAGCGAAAGAAGCGGGAACATGTGCTACTAGAGTTCTTGTTGAAGATTCCCCGTTTACTCAACGCATCGGAGCTTGATGACGGTGACGTGATGGCGTTGCAACAAATCAACGATTTCGATTACTTTGATGAAAGCATCTACGAAGAACGTCCACCCGAGGATAACAGAGGAAAAGGCGCCCTTGTTGATGACTTCCTTGGTGTAATGCAGAAACTCGTCAGGGTAAATCTGAACGTATGGAATAACTCTTTTCCACAATTTATTGGCCAGTCTCCCAGCACCTCTCAACAGGGCACTTATGACCTACATCGGATGTATTATTCATTGGCTGAAGGAATTCGTATGATGTCCAAAGCGTTCCACGGAATCGTCAGTCTACTCCAGAACCCTGCGCCGACTGTAGAACCGGAGCCAACGACGATGTCACCAGAAACCAATGATCTGGACAATTTCTTAAACCAAGTTAGCAATATGAGCCAGTTGAAAACGGAACCAGACCTAACGCGCACAATCCAAAGATTTACGCAACTGACGGCAATTGTGAAGAATTCAAATGGTTCTGAGTTGGAAGATGTCGTGGAGCTCTTGTCATCGTTCTTTGGTCCACGGCGTGAGAAAACAGACGAATGGCGCTTGGAGAATACAGGTTAGACATGTCCTATCTGATTCCTATATCAAGATTTAAGAAATTGTTTAATTATACATGCTTATTAAGGATAAATACATTTCGACCAAACACACCCATCTGAAACTTCTGTCGGCAAGTATCTAAGTATAAATATTATTCTCTATGCTAGTTTGTAATGTTTCTGGAATTTATTGGCAAACTTAGTTCAGCATTCTCCCCCCCCCCCCCCCTCCTCCTCTCCCTCCAAATTTGCTAGCGTTGTCATGGCTGATATCTCAACATTTTTAATATTTGTTCATACTCGAATCTTCTCCTTTCTTTTTGTTTACCATGCTTTTGATATATTTGTAGATTCCATTGACAACTGGTCGGAGTGGACAGCATGGAGCACATGCTCTGTAACCTGTGGTCATGGGGTACATGGAAGGAGACGGACGTGTAGCATCAATATCGAGGGACTCCTCATCGCGTCTGATCAATGCGTAGGGAAAGCTGAAGAAATATCAGAGTGTCAGGTGGAATGCCAGGGTGAGTTACAAGAGAGTTAGTACTTAATACCCCGAATCACAGCAATACTTTTTTTGAAACAGTAAAAGGCTGTAACCATCCTAATTCTATCCTTCTGTCAACACTCGAAATACATGTTTATACAGTAAAAGTTGTCAAGTGAAAGCAAGAGTGATAAATATAAAGACATTGAAGTAAGTAGTTGCAATGAAGGGTTCTCTTTGAAATCTTGCGTCTGAGCAATGGAGATTCTTTTCATGCTAACATGTTACAGATGCATATACTTAAAATAGTCTTCCAATTGCAACAATAATTTGTAAGCTCGTGGTTTATTTGTATTCGCTCTCTGACGGTTCCCTTTCATTTCCAACCAGAAAGAGTACAGGTCTAAGATATTGTCATGGTTTGGCTAATTTTGGCCGACTCCTACCTATTTTCTGAAATATCTATGTTTGCCTTCTTTTACCAAATAGAGGTATCTTGGGCCGGATGGTCCTTCTGGTCTCGATGTGATAATAGATGCGGTGGCGGTAACCAGACCCGGTCTCGACCATGCGGTTCGAACCCCACGGAAACCAATGCAATCCATCCTGTCAACCACTTCTGTAACGGCTCCTCCGAGGAAAAGAAAATGTGTCAGGAATATGACTTCGATGAATGCTCCCTGCATGAAATGTTTGTTCCCGGTGAGAACTTTAAACTACTTACTCCAAGACCATGTTTCAAAATGGGGTGCCGGTTATTTCTATGTAATTTTAAGATATGGATAACCAACAAAATATAAAAGTTTTAAAATTATGATAGTAGAGGTTCGTTTTGTCCGTTATCATCGGCAGATCTAGAGAGCGAAAATTGTCAACCCTCCCCCCCCCCCCCCCCTCCTCCCATGTAAACACAAGCCATGTTAATGGTGAAAAGATTTTCAGAAACTTACCAATTTATCACCTTCGTCTCATTTTCTAAGACGGTTTCCATCATGTTGCCTTCTGGATTTCAGCTAAAGTACCATTCATTTGTTATTGATTCACTACCCAAATTTTGCCTTGAAATGACAGGAACTTGGTCGGAGTGGTCCGCCTGGGCAAAGTGCCCCGATGTCTGCAAGGGATATCGTGACCGGCAGAGGTCATGTCATCCATTGAATGAAACGACACCGATAATCACCCGGATGAAACGAGACGAAGGCCTTCTGTGTGCAGGAGACGCCAAAGAGAATGTATCCTGTGAATATTCTACTGTCTGTTTGACGAAGATGCCTCCAGTTATCAATGCCAATGGTTGGTTTACCCTCGCCCTTCTGTCCCTATTTCCGTGTAATAAAACAAAAATTAGTCTATTGTAAACTTCTAAAATTGGTCAGTTTGATTACATTAAGCAACGACAATACTATATATACAAAATCAAAATGTTACTTTCTTTGGTTTTTCGGAAATGTATATCCGTGACGTAAATGTTTATATAATCATGTAATTCCCGATAAAAAATGTGCTATTTCATGTACCCTATTAAAGTAATTCCTACTTCCTCAATATTTTCAATCTCTAAACAAAAGGCTCGTGTGATAATTACTTTATGCTGTCTTATCTCTGATCAAGTACAAATAAATTTTTGGAGAGGGCACTTTCAATTTTCTGCCATCCCTAACCTCTCCATCTCTCTCTCTCTCTCTCTCTCTCTCTCTTCTTCCTCTCTCTCTCTCTCTCTCTCTGTCTCTGTTCGGCGAAAATCATCCCAACGACGATGGAAAACGCTATTAATTTCAAAAACGACAACTGTCTCTCACTCTCCCTATATTTTTCTATCCGTATGCCTCTTTTTTTTATCCTTACAAATGCAGCTCCCTGGACGTCGTGGTCACCCTGGTCCCGATGCAACAACAGATGCGGTGTCGGGAATCAAACCCGCTCTCGACGATGCCAGCTAACAGATCATGGTGTAACCAATGCAACCCATAGTGGAATCCACTCCTGTTATGGTGATTCCCAAGAGAAAAGAACATGTAGCGAGTACGACTTTGATGAGTGCACTCTTCACGATGTCTTCGCGCCGGGTATGAACAATTCAGCCAGCAAAAATATAATAATAAGGAAATTATACAAAGGAATTTGTAACAGGTGTGAGAGAGAGAGAGAGAGAGAGAGAGAGAGAGGGAGAGATAAGGGGTTGGTGGTAGATGGGTAGGTCTAGGACAAACGACAGTCATCGGTTCAATTTTGGCCTTTTTTCGACTACATTGCCAAAAAATCGCAATTTCGACCTCTCAGTTCCATATTAACTAGAGTAACTGTAGTATCAAGCTCAATCAAGAAATCATTCTTGAATTGTTCATATCTTTTCATCTCTAGTATACTTTCCTTCAAAGATTTTTCGTACCCCGGTGAGATTGTTTGAATTTGAAGCAAGATTTACCATCTCCAAACGCCGTCTCTCCCCCCCCCCCCCCCCCCCACCCAAAAAACAAAACAAAACAACAACAACAACAACAACAAGACAAGAATGTTACTTTTTGTATCAAAAAGTGAAATTATAAATCTCAATCACAGGTGCGTGGGGCGAATGGGGTCAGTGGTCGGAATGTTCAGACAACTGCACCGGACATCGAAATCGAAATCGATTATGTCATCCCTTGGCAGAGCCGACACCGATAATCACCCGGATGAAACGAGACGAAGGCCTTCTGTGTGAAGGAGACGCCAAAGAGAATGTCACGTGTGGAAATTCCACAATTTGTTGGAAGAAGATGCATCCAGTTATCATAGGTTGGTCTGCCCCCGCCCTTTTATCCCTATTCCTGTGTGATAAACAGACATTAGTCTAGTGTAAACTTTTAAAATTGGTCAGTTTGATTACATTAAACAACGACAGCACTATTTACCATATTGAAATGTTAGTTTCTTTGGTTTTTCTGAAATGTACATCCGTGATTCAAATGTTGATAGAAACATGTAAAAACGAATGTCAACTTGTCAATTCCCAGTAAAAATGTGGTATTGCATGTACCCTAATTCCTACTTCCTCAATATTTTCAATCTCAAAACAAAATGCTTGTGAGATGATTTGTTCATGCTGCCTTATCTCTGATCAAGAACAAAAACATTTATGGAAAGGGCTCTTTCCTTTTCCTGCCATCCCCTATCTCTCTCTCTGTGTCACTCACTGATATTTTCTTTCCGTATGCCTCTATTTTATTCTTAAACTTGCAGCTTCCTGGACCGCGTGGTCACCGTGGTCCCGATGCAACAACAGATGCGGTGTCGGGAATCAAACCCGCTCTCGACGATGCCAGCTAACAGATCATGGGAACCACTCCTGCTATGGTGATTCCCAAGAGAAAAGAACATGTAGCGAGTACGACTTTGATGAGTGCACTCTTCATGATGTCTTCGAGCCGGGTACGAAGCATTAAAGATACTATGTCCCTTTTGCAGCCAACATCAATTCTGTAGAACTTTTCAGGATTTATGAATATGTCATGTATGTCCTATCTGTGAAATTTAAACGTTAGCAGTGTCCTAATATTCAAATTATGCAAGGAAACCCGTTTACTTGCTAGACTTCACTGTCAGACACTATTGAGTGACTGACTGGCTGTTTTCTTCTTTGGGAATAACATACATAAAATGAGCTGTAAAGGGTACATGATGAGCATTTGTCTACATTAATAACCCACTTCTTGTAATGGCCAAAATTAAACTGACTGAATCTTTGCGCAGCATAAAACGTACTGCGTTTTAAAACGACTATTCGGTACAATGGTCTGAAAATCAGACTATTACTTACCGGCTGTATAGCTCTTAAGTCGGATTGACAACTAATACTCGTTATTTTCCCAATGAAAGACACTTTCAAGCCCCCCTTTTTTTTAGGGAAGTTCTAAATTAGTATTGTCTTTCAAATGTCGTTGGAATTTAACCTTTTCATTTTTTTTGGCATGCAAATGGGACATAGTACCTTTAAGCCACCAAAATTCTAATAATTAGGAAATTATATAGAGGAATTTGTAACAGGGAGAGAGAGAGAGAGAGAGAGAGAGAGAGAGAGAGAGAAAGAGAAGAGGGATTGGTGGTAGATGGATAGGTCTAGGACAAACCACAGTCATCGGTTTCATTTGGGCCTTTCTTCGACTGGATTGCCATGAAAGCGCAATTTCGACCTCTCAGTCCCATATCAACTATGGTAACTATAGTATTAACCTCAATCAAGAAATAATTCTTGAAATTTTCATATCTATCCATCTCTTCTATACTTTCCTTCGAAAGATTTTTCGTACCAGGTGAGATTGTTTGAATTTGAAGCAAGATTTACCCCCTCCAAGCGCCCTCCCCCACCCAAAGACAAGAATGTTACTTTTTGTATCAAAAAGTGAAATTATTAATCTCAATCACAGGTGCGTGGGGCGAATGGGGTCAGTGGTCGGAATGTTCAGACAACTGCGTCGGACATCGAAATCGACATCGATTATGTCATCCCTTGGCAAAGCCGACACCAATAATCACCCGGATGAAACGAGACGAAGGCCTTCTGTGTGAAGGAGACGCCAAAGAGAATGTCACGTGTGGAAATTCCATTGTGTGTTGGGAGAAGATGCATCCAGTTAGCATAGGTTGGTCTGCCCCCGCCCTTTTGTCCCTATTCTTGTGTGATAAAACAGACATTAGTCTCGTGATACTTCTCAAATTGGTCAGTTAGATTACATTAAACAACGACAATACTATTTACCATATTAAAATGTTACTTTCTTTTTTTGATTTAAATGTTGATAGAAACATGTAAAATTAATGTCAACTTGTCAATTCCCAGTAAAAAAAAAAGAAGCTATTTCAAGTACCCTATTAAAGTAATTCATGATGATTACCTTAAGCTGCCTTATTTCTGATCAGATACATTTATGGGAAGGGCACTTTCATTTTTATGCCATCCCCAATCTCTCTCTCTCTCTCTCTCTCTCTCTCACTCACTCTCCCTATATTTCTCTTTCTGTATGCCTCTATTTTATCCTCACACTTGCAGCTTCCTGGACGGCGTGGTCACCGTGGTCCCGATGCAACAACAAATGCGGTGTCGGGAATCAAACCCGCTCTCGACGATGCCCGCTTACAGATCATGGTGGAACCAATGCAATCCATGAGAACCACTGCTTTGGTGATTCCCAAGAGAAAAGAACATGTAGCGAGTACGACTTTGATGAGTGCACTCTTCACGATGTCTTCGCGCCGGGTATGAAGCATTAAGCCACCAAAATATAATAATAAGAGAATTATATAAAGGAATTTGTAACAGAGAAAGAGAGAGAGAGAGAAGCGTGGGTTAGGTGGTATAGATGGATAGGTCTAGGACATACGACATAAGGCTTTCCAAACGTTGTTTTATGGCTTAATTAATATATTGACTTTGAGAGGGAGCTAACAGCATAAAGAGTTTATTATTTACAATTTCACAACTTTAGACTCAATTTCAACTGTGACAACGATCACTGTATATTGTAGGATCGCATATGCTTCCAATATGTTCATTTGAACCAAATTCATGGCCCCATACCAAAACTTTGTATTACCTTTAAGCTTCCCCAAGCGCCCTCCCACCCCCCCCCCCCCCCCTCCACCCAACAAAAAAAGAAGACAAGAATGTTAATTTTTTTTATCGAAAAGTGAAATTATAAATCCCAATCACAGGTACGTGGAGCGAATGGGGTCAGTGGTCAAAATCTTCAGAAAACTGCACCGGACATCGAAATCGACATCGAATTTGTCATCCCTTGGCAGAGCAGACATCGATGATTACCAGGATGAAACGAGGAACGGGCCTTCTGTGCGAGGGAAACTCAACACAGAATTATTCATGCACATCAAGCGATTGTGAGAGAAGTTTCGATACCTCAATGAACACAGATATAGTATTACAAGAATTTTCTTGCGTCCGTTGCAGTTGAGACTATTTTTTATGAAAAGTATTTAAGAATAATCAAGATAATCCCATTAAAAAATATAGAGACACAGAAGTACACCTTCACAAGTGATATCTTCCTGTATATCGAGCGATTGTGATGTTTAATACCTAATGATCGAGGTATAGTATTACAATAATTTTTTGCGCCGTTGCGGTTAAGACTAAAAACATAATTCCCGTGAAAACTATTCGAGAACAATCCACACAATTAGATTAAATAGGAAGAGGGACAGAAGTACACTATAACAAGTGGTATTATGAATAACCACTCCTCCTCCTTCCTTCTCCCTTTCCCTCGATGATTTCAACAAGAAGTGTTACATTTACATTTTGAAATTGTTATCTCCACATTTCTTCGGTTACAAATTCATGGCTTTTTTTATCGTGGATATATTATACAATTAACGTTTTAATTGGGTTTTGGTTAGTTTTACGGTTATTGCTAGCCTCAAGTTTAGTTTTGGGTCCATACAGGGTCAATGAAGATAGTTGAGAAAGTTAAGAAATCGTTTAGTATAAGAACATGACCGCCTAGCAATTTATGTGTAAACATGTCAAACACTTCATGTATAACCAGATTTATATTTTCCGTAATGATTTTCATCACAGCTGTTGTATCTCTTCATCATCATCACCACTTCTTTGAATGGCACAGTACAAGCAAGCCAGTCATCGCAGCACTAGCTATGATTGGATTTGTCCTGTTCGTCATCCTAATCATCTGGTACTTCGCTACCACGCGTCGAAGACGAGGTGATAAGCCCTATCGGACGGACCGAGGCAACAGCGAGGGGAGTGTCTTCCAAACGAAACGATCATCTAGTGATGACAGCCGCCGGTCATCGTCGAGGAGATCGTTTCTTAGCTGGCGAAGCACGAGCAAGGAATCGGCTCTCTTCTCTGATCAACAATCCGAGGAGTCCGTAAGGCTGTTAGGCAACGAAGAAATACCTCCTGATCCTTCCCGTTTCTGTCCATACAGGGGACGTCCCCGTTCATCGAAGGAAGACATCTCGGCAGAGTGGCTCTATCCATGGGAGACGGAAGGCGACGATTGGGCCGGACTCGACTTTGAGGCAGACAACGCGTCCAACATGAACTTCGACGTTTATATGGAGGTAGATGAAGCGGTGGAAGAACCGCAGACATCTGTTGTCTTGCCTGAACAGGAACCCTCGGCAGTAGGCAATCGATCTGAAGATGATCAAGAGATCAAGATTGGTGAACTGGAGAAATCAGCCGAAGCCTGGTTTGATTGATAATCAGAGCCTAAAACAGCAGATTCATGGTTAGGCCTAACGGGAATGTAGATGGATACGTCATGCCATGTACGTCATGTCTGTGGAAGAGCAGAACAGTCACATCGGCGTACTCTGAACAGAGTGACAGGTCGAGCTGTCCAGGGTAGATGGTCGGGTCATGAGGGTCAAGTTATTTGATGGTCGAGTTGTCCCGCGACACATTAGCGTCATTAGCGTCGTACCTGTTGCTTGCTATCTTCTTATTGTGGATGTCATTTTTTTTTTGGGGGGGGGGGGGGGGTTAACCAAAAAGTTTTACCTATCTGATATTCAACATGAATCAGTTTGTTTCTCAGTAAAATGTACATCAATATTTCAGGAGGAAGTAGCATTTCCTCCTGAATTCCTCCTGGAACATTTTCTGTATATTTTCTTGAGAAATAAAGTGAATTATGGACTTCTGTTAGATAGGCAAGTAAATTTCTTCCATGGAAAGACTTTTGAAGGTGATAATTATATAATATTTCATTGGGTGCTTTTGCATTTTACTTTTACTTCTCAAGAATACAAAATTAGAAGTCATGTTGTTTCTATTATCAATATTATTTTCATTTACACGGGAGCCAAATTCATGATTCACTGTTCCCAACACAATTCATCGCAGTAATATATTAATTTTGACAGTGCGAGTGTATTTAATGTATTGAATAAAATGTTGTATTTATTTTATGCAGTCTTGTATCATTAAAGGCATTGAAATACTTGACTGTCAATACTTGCATCATAATGTTGGTACACCGTATATGCCTCCTCTTTCTCTCTCTCTCTCTCTCTCTCTCTGTCTCTGTCTCCCTCCTTATGGCCATTTGTCTGGTTGCATATTTCTCATCTTAACTCCCCCTCTCTCTCCCCATCTCTCTCCCTTCCTCTCTCCATCTCTTCCTTTATCTCCCCCTCTCTTTTCTCTTTATTCATATTTTCTTAGGCAAGGTTGTGATAATCATGATGTAGCAACATACTTTGTAATTTAATAGGAAAGGTTATGGGTCAGTGGCAGATTGATGTTGGGTCAAGAGAATTAAGAGAGTTACTTTTAAATTTCGCTTTCTAAAATAATGACTTTCTCTAATGTATAATCATTATGATGTGAAGTACCACATTTGATGACCAGGGAGGTGTTTCACAAAGATCCCAAGTCGAACTTAACTCTAAAGTTGGACTTACATATTATGGAGAGCTATTTGTAGCCTTAAAATAAAATAACATTCAAGTATTTTAGACTTTTTATAAATTCCACATGAAGAATATGAAATCTCCTTGTTAATAGAAAATATGAATGATTTGAATTTTATGCCTTTCAAAATAACTTACTTAGGATCTTTGTGAAACACCCCCAGGTAGAATTTCTACTATTGAACACGGTATACAACATACATCTACTTCCTGCTGGTACTGTTGGGTAAAATAAAGACAAAATGAAGACGAAACTGACAACAAAGGCTTTAAATACAAAATACTTTTTTTTTAATTCATTATATAGTTTATATGTATCATAAAATATAGCAACATCGGCAATTCCTTTATACATTTCAAGGCCAGATCAATGGTATTATTTAACTTGGAAGAAATTGCATTGGCAGTGCAAGACAGAAGCAAACGTCAAATTCCACAAACCACATCAAGTATGTGAAAACTCACACACAAAAATGCAATGCAACTTCCCTCGGATATATGTCAGTGAGTAATCGGATTGCTTTCCCCTGGGCTGTAGTGGGCAGCTATTCACCTCCATCTCCTTCTAACATACATACATTGAGTATGTACATGGGATAGCATTGGTCTGATTCATAATATCAGTGGGGTAGTGAGAATCCAACCATTGAGGGGGCACCTGTCTCACTCTGACAGATAATGATATGCTAATTTACAAGACCTAATATAAGGAGGAGAGTTTGTGGGAGAATGTCTGGTCTTCTTTTCTTATCCTATTCCTAATTCTCTCTTTCCTTTTCTCTTTGTATCTTTTTCTTCCTTTTCCATTTCTCTGTCATTTGATGGAGGGATGCGCCCCCCTGTGCCTCCATGTAGTTACATCATTACATACAGTATCACATGTGTAGGAGTCTATCCATTAAGATAAAGTCTCATAAAATATATGCACAGGTTTCTACTGTGGTTTGAATAATATATTAAACATGTCCTGCAATTAATATAACTATAGGCACCTTTAAAATTCAATTTCAAATCCATTTTGCATATGACTTCAATTTAATATATTTCAATGAGGTACATCGGCAAGTCAATATATGAGATAAAGCATGCGATAGATTCATGAACATAATACATCATTGCAAAACTCCATATGACAATAGTTGCTTTGGTTATATCATATAAAACGATGTAACTACCGGGTACGTAATCCTCATATTGAAGAAAATAAGTTGTATATTCCACATATCTTAACATCCATGATCTAATGGCAGATTTCATCATTGTATATATTATTCTATCAAGAAATTCAAAACAGGCAAAATTTTCCAAATCAATTTACCCAACAACAAATCCAACCATTATATACAGGAAGCAGGGATTTTCTTATCAATACTGCATTGTCTTCACACACATTTCCCTGCGAACCTCATAAGTTGTTTATGTACGACCTTTATACAGTAAGATATAAATATAGGAAAGCTTTACAAAATCGTAGAAATCCCCCCCCCCCCCACCTCCAACTCTTTCTCTCTCTCTCTCTCTCTCTTTCTTTCTTTCTCTCTCTCTCTCTCTCTCTCTCTCTGTATATTTCTCTTACGTCTCACTCCTTTCCTCTCTTTCACTCTCTCCCTATTTATCAGAATCCCCCCCCCCCCCATTCCCCCTTCCTACATTTTTCCTATGGCCGGTTACATACTCCAATTTTCCTCACTGTGAGACCCATAAATAAAGGATAAATATGTGAACTTGTGAATAATATTTTTACCAAATAAGATAACATTATGGATATATACTTTTTCATTATTATACATTAAAAAGCTGGAATGATGTTTAAAGACAACCCTACCTTATGACAAAATCTCCCTTCCTGTCTCTCTTTCTCTCTCTCTCTTCCTTTCTCTCTCTCTCTCTCTCTTTCTCTCTTTTCCTTCTTAAACAGCATTTATTGCAAATGCACTTCTCTTATATTGCATCAGCACCCACATACATGTAGTCCTGGTAAAAGTGTACCACAACACATATTCCCATATTCATTTTACTCCACTAATACATATAACTATATTGAACCATTGTGCTTAAGTAGCTGTGCAAAGAAATATCACAAAATGGGCAAATTATACATGAAAGGAAAGCTTATATCATTGAGAACACAAATCATTTACTTTAAAGACTGCAATACTACTGGGCCAGAAGGGATTAGACCATCCAGGAAGGTCACTGACAGATGGCTATCTCATCAACTCAGCTCTCAACTAACATAAGAAAAAGAGGATCAACAACAATACAATAGGAACCAAAACATTGTTTGGTAATTCGTATACTTGATATCGAGGGGTCAGTGACACAAAGACGTAACTCCATTTTGGCCATTTTGAGAAAAAAGTGGTTTATGTGTCACTGACCACTTGGGCCTTAAGGAGTTAAGTATATGTTTCACTAGCCATTGACTTCAATGGGGTGTTGGGTGGAGTTAAGTCTTTGTGTTTCCTGGAAAGCCCACATTTTTCTGAACATTTTGGCAAAATGTGGAGTTACGTCTTTGTGTCACTGAAACCTCAAAATCCTTCTTCCTTCTCAGTCACTGCAAATGAAGAGTAGGAGCCAGGAGCTACTTGCGCCCTCTATATAGCAAACAATGCCTAATCGGTGACCACTGGTCCTCCATTATTCCCTTTTATTATGTTAATTGAGAGCTGATTTGATGAGATAACCACCTGTCAGTGACGTTGCAGGGAGGTATAATCCCCCTGGCTAAACTAGTGCAGACAGACTTTAAAAGGATATTCTTTAACACCCTTCTGCTTCTCAGCGTGGCACTGAGCAGGCTAGCTGTCAGGATCTTCCTCATAACGATCCATTCGCTCCATTCACTCCATTGAGCAGCTTTTTCCTATCCTCGTCTTCATGAGCTGATCGAAGCCTCTCTGATCGGCAGTATCTGAAACGGGCAAACTGGGTCAGCATCTGATATGGGGGCAGTAAAGGAATTTCAATGAACGGTTCAAAGACGTCAACTTTAAGATTAGCATAAGCTTTGATAAAGTATTAAGAATCAACTCCTCCTCTTGGTGAAGGTGATTATTTTACCTGACTGCTAAGAAAGCATAAATGCTTGTAAGTAAGCAACCAGACGGCCGATGGCTTTAGGTCCTCTCTGAGGGACCTGGTAATAATGATAATAGCCTAATAGTCCACTCCAAATTTTATTAAACCGAAACAGAAATTCTTTTTGCCCAATTGATCGTGAGCCCGGCAGCCACTGAGCAGCGCCAGATCGACGTTGCTCTATCCTTTATTGTTGGACGCCAAACAAGGTAGCAACAACTCCCATCTTTTAACGTCTTTTGGTATGACGCGGCCAGAGTTCGAACCCACGACCTCCCGGTTGTGAGGCGGACGCTCTACTGACTGAGCCAACACTCCGGCATTAATGAGGATTAATGCCTTACCAAAGGGCACTAGCGCATCGACTTTGTTTCGAACCTGGGTCACCGGATTACGAGACCACTGCTCTACCAACTGAGCTATCGCGCCTCCTCTTAAAGTTTGCAATTATATTTCCTTCCTTATATTGTTGGTGAGGTGTTGTGGAGGTGTTGTGGTCTAGTGGATAAGTCACCGACTGCAGATCACAAGGTATGGGGTTCGAGTCCCGCCACGGCAATAATGTCCTTTCGCAAGACGTTAATCTACATTTACCACTCTCAACCCAGGTGTTAAATGGGTACCCGGGAGGATGCGAAAATAAAAGTGGTTGCATTAGCAAGTGTGCGCTTGTAAAATGACGCCTGGCTGGAATGCTCCCCAGAGAGTGGTGAATGTGCATACATTGTGTGCAGGTAAGCCTGAATCCCATGACCGGGGTAATAATATATCTGTAAAGCGCTTAGATACATCGTTGATGTATTAAGCTCTATATAAAAGTGGAATATTATCATTTATTTATTTTTTCTTTTTTTAATTCCTAGCATCATATACTTTATGGTCATGCAACAAAAATGGACGCAGTACTTGCGGACATTTTTAAGCTTAATTTTCATGCATCTGGTAAATTGTTTTAGGGCTCTGAAGCAAAGAAAATTATTGAAATATTGAATTAAAAAATATGGAATGCCAAAGCAAGGGTAATAATCGCCCAGCGCCAGGAGTGTGAAGTCTGACAGATACATGTATGGGCGCTATACAAGAACAAGAACTCATTGAAATTGGCATGAAAGGGTAGTAACCCGATAATGCATTGTGAAATACATTCCATTGGAAACATTTGTCTTCAAACTTTGGCAATTTTTTTTTTTTTAATTCTAAATATGGTTGTCCATATTAACCCTTGTGGCACACAATGGGATAATCAACAGTATCATGATAACTTAGGCAATGATCCAGGGGTCAAGTACTAGTGCACTGATAAGAACCTAATTTGACAACTTCTGAGTACTCTAATCTCTCTTTTTCTCTCCCTGCTTGTACACGAAGCACATGACCAGGGCCTACGTGCACAAGATATCAACTATTGTATTGGGGATGATCAATTCGTCCTTGTTTTCACGAAGTGACGGTAGTGAGGAAAATCGTAACGCAAAGTGAATGCATTTTTTTTTTCACTACCGTCACTTCGTGAAAACAGCGACGAATTAGCTAGCCATAACATGTGCTGCTGATCTGTGTGTAACCTATGTGTGTAACCTACAGTGTACATCTCATGTTTGTCATTAAAGAGGCATTTGCAAAGGAATCTAATATCTGACGTACTGTTAAGAAGCTAAGGCTACATTCCAGTTTGCAGATGTTGTATAGTGTTAAAACATCTATAAGAAATAAACAATGTGGCCATTAATGTACATTATTTAAGTTATATGTTCTTCATTAGACAAAGTTAATGGCAGATTTCAATACCAATATCTACAACTGTATATATTGACAACTATAAATATTGACCAAAAAGAAATATTGGCAATTACTTCTATTGCATTAAAGTACAGAAGATATGAAGAATGTTTGTAAAACAATTGAAAATCAGGGGTGTTCAACTAACAACCTACAACCATTTTTATCAGTGACTAGGGGGTCCCGCGCAAAAGCTCTTTGAAAAGATACAAATCCTCTTTACCACAACTATTGTAAATTATCACATGCCATAAATCCACCATGATGCTTACCTGTATGTACTACAGTAAATACTTGCTTTGTTATCTGTTAGGTAAAATAAATCATGAATCAAATATAAAAGGATACGATGCAATCGAAGAAGAGCGTCCCAAGACTGCCGACAAGCCATGGTAAATGCCTGATGAGAAACACTGTAGATGTATCCTCCATGAGGACCGATGCGCCGTAGAAGACGTTACCTGTCACCGTCAAGATGAACATTAAGATAGATACGCCCTCTACGGACTGTCTTCGATACTGCAGAAGAAAACAAATGAAGATAATAAGGTAAACATGCTCAAGTATTAGGCCTAAAAAAAAAAGACTGTCCCCAAAATCTTGAACTCTACGGTCAGCTTTTCAAAAACTTTCTTCTTTATTACCATTTTTTAGAGAAAAAAATGTATCAAAGCATTGAAAACTGAGAAACATCAGCCCAAAGACATGGTAAAAAAAATAATTTAGATTTAGGACCACCCGACCCATGTTTTGGCACCTTAAGGGCAATACAGTATCCTTTTTTTTTTTTTAGGCCTTACGCCTACAGGGAGGGTATTTTACAGACATCGCTACCAACGACTGGAATGTACTTTCAATTGTGCCATCTTTAGGTGAAGGCGTAAATAAAGCGATTTCTGGTCCCTCTACCCGAGCATAATCACGCATGTGTCATCAGTTGGTGATGCATTGTGGGACATGGCTATTGACACGTCAGGACATTGAGAGAAGCAGATGGCAGTGTATACGTAAATCTGAAGTAGTGTCAGGAGAATACCCTGCCTTTAAAGGCATCGTTTAACAATATCAAATCTGAGATGCACGGCCCTATGTGTAATCATCGTCTGTGATATGGTGTAATATTGAGGCCCTAAAAAAATTGTGCTTCAAAATGATCATGAAGTGCCTCAAAAAATTAAAAATCTTTGACTGACCGGTTTTACTATACTCATTCCCCCCAATAGACTGTAGTGTTATAAAAACCGTTAGGAAAACGAAAAAAAATTTTGATTGACAATTAATCTTAAACATCTTGATAATCAAACAGGCGACCGGCTTGCAAAAGTCATGAGATTCCTGACTGACCTAAAAGTTTATGATTATGAGTGCAGCATGAGCTAAATCCAGGATTTTATTTCAGAATCTAGCTGAGGCAATATTACTGAGTCACTTTAAAGTATGTAGGGTGAAGTATGAGCTTTTCTCTACATACATTGTACTTCCAACAATATACTGCATGGCCTCGACATGTAGATCTTGTTCTTCCTTTTTGAGCCAAAAATAAATTACCGAGGAGTTCCCCAATTGCCAGTGACAGGAAACTGCTTCAATATCTTCAATTAATTGAATACTGTAAGACAATTTCTTTGATACATACTTGTAATCCAATGCTTTGCAATATCATATCACACGACATTGCAATTTTCTAAGTGTTTATTTCAACATCATTATACCACTTGTCTAATGTACCGGAAGTCATAACAAATGATACTTCACTACACCAATGGTATATCCAGTCAATATGTGTAGGCTACAGCATGTACAAGGCGTTTTACTTACATTTTGTATAAGTTGAGGTATCCTAGATCCCACATAGAATACACCTGATAAACAGCCACACACATATCCAAATATATCCAATGAATCCTGAAAGGAGAGTGGAAGAAACACAGAAAAAAGGTGTTATTCAACAATACGTGACCTTGATTGACACCTCACAGCTGGCGCTTCTTCATTTTTCATATATTTCACCCCATGCAATTTTTTGCCCCCCCCCCCCCCCCCCCCCCCCCCCCCCCCCCCCCCCGGTTAGAATTTCCTGGATCCGGCACTGTGTGAACATACATGTACATGTGCAATTACAACTACCTACATGTACTTCACTGTTAAAGTGGAGATAGTTGAGATACACATACTTCACACAAATTAACATTCACTTTCTGTATGTTCTGAGATCTAAAGTGGCTATAAAGAGCTACTTTTATTGCTGGATTGTCGGATACATTAAAATAATTCAATAAAATAATGTTTCAGTTTCACAAATCTTCTTAAAGGCATCGTTTAACAACATTTGTTAAATCTGAGATGCTTGGCCCTACGTGTTATCATCGTCTGTGATATACAGTAGTGTAATATTGAAGCCCTAAAAAAAGTGCACTTCAAAATGATCATGAAGTGCCTCAAGAAATCAACAATCTTTGAGTGACTGGTTTTACCATACTCATTTCCCCCGATAGACTGTAGTGTTATGAAAACCGTTGGGAAAACCCAAAATGAAATTTTGATTTTCAATCATAAATATCTTGATAATCAGACAGGCGATTAGCTTGTAAAAGTCATGGGATTCCTGAATGACCTTAAGGTTTATAATTATGATTGTATCATGAGCTAAATCAAGGATTATGTTTAAGGATCTGAGACAAAGTTACCGGATCCCTTTAAAGCTAGTCCCAGATCTGGTAATGTCATTAAATTGATAGAAATTAGAAAGTGGCTGGAAGTAATTCTGAATCATTTATCATGCCAACAGCATGATATATGATATGGTGCGACTCTCATTGTTTTTCGGCCAAATCCTTGAGTAGATATCATTCATTTGTAAACTTGAACATTCAGTGTACATGTACATTTCAATAGAACCGTTTACTAACATATTTAAATTTATGAATGTTTCTTTCCTGGAGACCTAGTGAAGAGTTACATTGTACATGTATTTACATGTACAAATGTAATTAGCCTCTTATTAATTAATGCACTACAATATTTGGAATCCAGCATGCATACATTACTTGTTGCTATGTCAGGCAAGCCTCAGGCAAGCTTTAGGTTCTTGACCAACAACCTATGTTTAAAAATTATGCTTATAACATTTTAATATGTTTAATACAGGGATGCCAGTTAGAATTGATCAGACGGCCTAGAATGAGCTATTTTGTCCCAAAAAAAGCCTAAACTATGGTCTGAAAATAACTCGCCAGGGTTAATAGTGGTCTATTGACTCTCTAAGAATTTATTTTCCTTCACTACCAGAACTCTGATGCCCTTTAATGATCACTTTCACTGAAGTACACTAGTAATGGTATAGTGAAACCAAATACGGTACATGTTATCACATGACACATTTTACTTTCTGAATTCAAGTGAATGATTTTGTAAAGAGGATGTGCTTCAGGAAGTCAAAAGAATGTAATTAACAATCCACCTTGAACCATTAATCAATCCAGCCTTCTCTTAGAACTAAGAAAAAAGAGTATTTGGCTGATTAGTTTATCTGCTTACCTACATAGCATGAGTATGTACAGATTTTTATTTTAATGTAATGGTGCCTGTACATTTAATGCAATCTATACAGGTACCACGATGTTTGTATTCTACATGCTTCTTCTACAAATTAAATAGACATTTAGGCCATGTCTGGATATGAAAACTAATATCAAATATACAAACTCATTGAAACATTTCACATTATTTTGGTAACCTTTGACTTTGGAACTTCCTGTTACCCCACATTTATATATAATATTGGCTGCCATTGAGTGGTATATCAGATGTATTTGCGACCTGATTGCAATATATATCTGATAAAGACTGATATACCATGAAAGAAAGTCAATATTATTATTATTATTATTATACATTAAAAAATTAAACTACAGTGAAAGTTAAAGGATCAAAAAGATCAATTTACTTAGCAAATTCCAATGATGATGCAAGAAATAAAACAACAAGTGCCATGGCAATTTCAACAGTGTCTCGGCTAGTCTAAAAGCAAAATTTGGCAAGTCAAAATGAAAGATGATCCAAGTTTAGAATGTAATTTGTATTTTAAAAACGTAAGACTCTCAACGTATTTTTGTATATCATACAGTATACAGATCTTTGTTTAAAGTTAGTTTTGGTGGTAGTTTATTGTCACATTACAGCGATTGAGATTGAAGCCAGCATTTGCATGCAGCTCTTGATCATAAGGGCGCATGATTAAATATCATGCTCAGCATGTAATGTTGTAACGATGTTGCATGCTGATTCTTTATCAGTGGAGTGACATGTTGCACGGAGCAAAAGCAATACATGCTAACAATATTTAACTCGATCGAAGAAAAAGAGTCAAATTTTATTCCCTGGGGGAAAAGGGATTGTACATGTATGTGTAATAATGACTGGTATAATGGGAGTGTCGTGGTCGAGTGGTTTAAGGCACTTGACTGGAGATGCGAAGGTCGAGGGTTCAAATTCTGACACAGCACTAATTTCCTTTGGCAAGATATCAACCTGCACTTGCTACTCTCCACCCAGGTGTTAAATGGGTACCCGGTAGGATGCGACCGTCATTGTTGGTCAAACAGCTTGTGAGCATCAAATAACGCCCGACTGGAATGCTCCCCAGGGAGTGGAGATTGTGCACACAGTGTGTGCGGGCAAGGACCGAATCCAATGACTGGGGTAATAGTATATTTGTAAAGCGCTTAGAGACATTGTATTAAGCGCTATATAAAAGCTAAATATTATTATTATCATTATTGCACACACCCCAAATGCTTAACAAAAGGGAGATCTTTATTTAATGGTAAATGATTCAAATAATTGTGTTTTCCATAATTATATAGCTTATCGTATTCTAAACCTTTGGAAGAATATGGGTAGGTGATTGTATTTGAATGCTGCTTTGTTAAACATTAAAGGGACTATGTCCCATTTGCAGGCCAAAAAAATGAAAAAGTTAAATTCCAACTGCATTTGAAAGATAATACTAATTTAGAACTTCCCTAAAAAAGGTGGGGCTTGAAAATGTCTTCAAGTGGGAAAATAACGACTATTAGTTGTAAAATCGACTTTAGGGCTATAGAGCCCAAAAGTAATAGTCTTGATTTTCAGACAATTGTACCGAATGGTCATACGTTTTATGCTGCGCAAAGATTCAATCAGTTTAATCTTGGCCATCACAAAAAGTGGGTTATTGATGTAGACAAATACTCATGTACCCTTTACAACTCTTTTCATGTATGTTATTACCAAAGAAGAAAAAAAGCCAGTCAGTCACTCAGTAGTGTCTGACAGTGAAGTCTAGCAAGTAAACGGTTTTCCTTGCATAATTTGAATATGAGGACGCTGCTAACGTTTAAATTTCAGAGATAGGACATACATGACATATTCATAATTCCTGCAAAGTTCTACAGCATTTGAGGTTGGCTGCAAAAGGGACATAGTACCTTTAAAGGCCATCAAGTTTACAAATATGTATCCAGAAACATATTTCACGAGATACATTTTCAATCATATTTATAGGCCTATTTCAACTGTTAGTCTGATCTAAATACAATTTCATATACGCCAATACACATGACCCGCTGTTTTATTTGATGAATGAAGAAATGCTCTTCTTTGTCCAAAAATTATACGCAGCATGAACTCTTGGGTTGCTTGAATAGTCTTCAGCAGTGATAGGATTACGCAAGCCACATGATTTACAAATTTCCCTGTGACATCACAATCGAAATTGCTGGTTTATAAAACTTCATGTGACAAACCAATATCAACATCTATTGTTAGGCTTCATGTTTATAGGAGCTATGTACATGACCTTGGTCTCTATTGTGTGTATGCACAGAGCACTCGGGCCCCTATACATGTACAGTAATAGCACAGGATATACAGTACATTGTAGGAGTGTCATCAAGGCATTGAAAGGCAATGTACAGATATGGGGCAGACCGCAGTCACAGTAGTGAGGAAATAAGGAAGGGACGGTGTCAAATATTGAGATTCATAAACACGTGGGATGCATGTACAGTGTATGACTTCAACTGTTAAACATCTATATACAGATATTAATCATTTTAATTTAGATTCACTTTATAGATGGGTCGAAAAGTTAATCCCTGTTAATAATCTGTGATTTCTTCATTTTGATGAGACACAGCTACATGCACACATAGTATACTGATAATTAAATTTTATGTTGCCATGGCTCTGTACAGAAAACACTCTCTCTCTAAGTGCCATATCGTTTGACTTTGGCGATCATGCTGTTCCACAACCCTCGGCTCCTAGCCTTCTGTATTAGTACCACTCCCAGTTCTTTCACTCCTCTCTCTTCCAACAATTTCTGCAGACTGTCCATCCAAAGTATCCTCCTTCTTCCCCTACTCCTTCTTCCCACAATTTTCCCTGTCAAAGCAAGGTTCTCTAAGCCTTCTTTACGTGTAATGTGACCCATGAACTTCAACTGCCTAATCAACATCTCACGTATCATTTTCCTTTGCACTCCAGCTCGTGTAAGAACTTCCTCATTACTAACTTTGTCAGTCCAGGGGATTTTCATCATTCTTCTTAGAAACCACATTTCGCAACTTTCCAAACGCTTTTTAGTATCAGAGGCTAAAGTCCATGTTTCACTACCATACATAAGTACTGGGTAGATGTAACAATTCAATACCCTTATTCTGGTCCTCATACACAATGTTCGATTTGTCAGAATTTTGCCTAACTTTGAAAATGCAGATTTAGCGAGAGCTATCCTTCTCTTGATCTCTGTCTCGCATCTGGCATCTTCGGTAATCATGCTGCCGAGGTAGTTAAATGAGGAGACTTGTTTAATAGTCTGTTCTTTCAGTTTCAAGTTACATTTTGGACTGCTCTTCTTGGATACCACCAGGCATTTTGTCTTGGTATAGTTGATCCCTAGTCCCATTCTCTCACTTTCTTTTACAACTACATTCAGGAGTCTTTGGAGATCTTTCTCTGATTCAGAAAATAAAACAGTGTCATCAGCATATCTAATATTTGTGATTGAATGACCACCCACTTGTATCCCATTTTCATCTTCCAATTCTCTTAGAATGATTTCACTATACATATTGAACAGGTCTGGCGACATAACACAACCCTGTCTGACTCCCCGTCTGATGTTGATATATTCACTACACTCTCCTTCTACCCTGATGCATGCAAACTGATTCCAATATAGACTTTGTAGCAGTCTTAGATCTTTCCTATATATATCAAGCTTTCTCAGCTCTTCAAAAAGTTCTGAATGTCTTACTTTATCAAAAGCCTTTGAATAATCAATAAAACACATGTACACAGAAAACACTATATACGTGTATACAGTAGCCCCGTTGCAGGACATGGTGGTACATAGAAAACTAAACTATTTTATGTGCTAGTGAAGAGGGTGTTCAATGGTTATTTCAAAGCAAATTGAAATTGTGCAGAATAAACACCTATTATTGCAGTTGTCTCTAAGAACTGTACACCTTGTACTCATATACACCATATATGCAGCACACTCAGCACAGCGATGTATATCCAATTAACTTGACCTAATTTAGATCTGCTACATGTATGACACATGACGTACCTCTTACTATAAGAAAAAAACATATTTTTCAGAATATCACCCCAAAGGTTTTATTATAAGCATGTCTTCCACCACCTGGTTAAACTGGTAATTCATAGGGGAAAATGTGAATATCAGGGCCCGTATTCAATAAACTTCTAAGACATTTTTCTTAAGTCTAAGAAAATGTCTAAGAATTTGTCTAGGTTAAGAAAGTTGCCTTAGCCGTATTCTAAACACGTAAAGCAGTTTGTCTTAGCTAAGACGAAAGATAAGACAAATTCTTAGACCCGATGACGTCATGTTGGAAAGTTGATGTGGTCGACTCGAGCGAATTAATTGCAACTCGATTTGCCTATGTAATTTGCGTGTTAAAATAAAAATCGCACCGCACAAAAATTATACACTAACATGTATGGGAGAGCGTAAGGGAGGAACGATGCTCACATAATTATTTCGGGATTGACCAACTGACACTAAAACAGTCTAGTCAAGACCACCTGAGGCTAGATCTAACATCCACTGTAGGCTTTTTATACTTTTCTGTCAAACAACTCCGAGGAGCCCAACCGGGCTTACTTATTATGTCGCAGCCGCAGGGTCTGCGAGTATGAAGGGAGCGCCGTCGCTAGCCGGCCGACCAGCGCTAGCATTGGATTTGGAGCTACCCTTTCATTGTTTTACATCGTCTCCTGTTATGATGGCCTAAAATTAATCAAATGGCTAGATGTAACCTTTATCAGACTCATACTATAACAAATTTTGTCTCACCTAATATAATGCCGATTGCACATTATTCCCTGTTTCCATACTTTAGCGCCAAAGACTAATAAAGTAAGAGACGGTTTCTTTTAATATATACGACAGCCATGTCATGATTTAGTGTTATGCATGTATGCTACTACTAGTTGTGTACAAGTACAGTACACAGAGCCTATGGCGCTCCTGCGCGCTGCGCCGTCGACGCTGTATTACGCGAAGCTTACGTTGTTATATAGGTCAACTGATAACCTGCGCTCGCGCTGCATGCATTGTTTTTATTCCATTTGATCGAAACCCGAAGCGGTTGCTTGCAGCATCACTGAGCTGCCGGTGCCAAAGCCCCATTTAAGCATCCTCGTAGTATGCTTAAATATAGGGTAGATTTCTTACTTATCTTAGATATCTCGATTGTATTAGAATACGACATGCTACTTAAGTCCTTTTTCTTAGATAAAATCTAAGAATCCTTCTTAATCTTAAGGCAAATTTCTTAAGTCCCCATTGCTGTTATAGAATACGAATTTTGGCCAAGATTTTTTCTTAGCCAAAATTTAAGAAAAAGTACTTAAATTTCATGCTTAAGAAGTTTATTGAATACGGGCCCAGGGCCCTATCTTATAAAGAGTTGCGATCGATCCAAATCAATAGCAAGCTTGCAGTCTCCCATCTCTTACAGTATTTACTATGTAGGTAGTTTCGATTGATATCAAGCGCAACTAAGTTGCGATTGATATCAAGTCGTTATAATACTGGCCCAGGATAATGACACATCTTAACTTGATGTACTTCAAATGAAAATTTATAGTAAAAAATATAATTAATGTTTACATTATACAATTGATATTACGATCTCCACAACTTTTTGTACAAGGCCTGCAAGATTATACCAAGCACAATGGACAATGCAATGAACTTTTCAAACATTTTTGCCATCAGCTGATTTTTCCTCATGGGGAAAGGGAAATACTGTCAGGGAAATGACACATGTTGCTTCCTGTCGTTTGACCGGAGTAGACAAAGAATCTCCCACTGGTTTCCTCGTAATTTAACTAAAGATCATGTGAGAGCATCTGAAGGATTTTGATTAGTTTTCCACTTTTCCCACGTTCATTTTATTTCAAATACTGATTCTAAACACTGTTTTTTAGTTATTTCCATAATCACAGAGTGATGGCATATATTCTATAATTCATAAATCAGTTCAAAAGCTGTTGCCTGTACAGGTCACCATTCACCAATATGCCTAATACTTAGTTTCTCCCTAACTCTCTTATGTTTCATTCGTTTCTCTATTTTCCCTAGTTCTAATACAGGAGCAATCTGGTCCTAGTAAGCTGTGGGTTAATACGCTTTCAAATCAATAAGGGAGTTTACAGATAGCACATGGTACAAATGACCCCAAATATCCACAGATCTTTTACACATGGAGAAGTTCCACTTTGAGCATCTTGGAATGATAACTGCCAAAGTCCTAGATGTGCTTCATGAATACCTTTTGTTTGGCCTCTTGAAAAGAATACTTCCACCTGTGTATCATAGAATGTACCGTTGGTGCATAAATGAATAATGTTACATAACTTTCATGAGCGCATATCCAGTATTCATCTCTGTGGGTTTTACCAGTTTGGTACAAATGACCTTTATCTGCCTATGCGCAGATTGTATCTGTAAACTCCCTTATTAGAAAATAACATATAATAATATCTTAAAATTATACTCACAAAGAAAACACAATTCCCCTTGTAGTACAATAAGCATGGTGGCTCGGTGGTATTACTAGTATTAGAGTCGACGACGGACAGAAGAGACCTGCCAGTACCACTTGACCTTAGAGGAGATGAACTTTGACCTTGTTGCCATGGTAATGAGACAAGCAGTGAGGTAGAGAGGAGGAAGGTACAGCAGTAGATGATGTGGGAATGGTCCTGATCTCTGGTTTGGACAGCAGGGTTTTCTTGTGAAGAGTCTATTGGTGGAGAAGTTTAAATGCAAGAAAAATTGAAGATGTTTGGAATAACATTTACGTTAAAAAAATTATTACTATGACTCATTTTTAGAATGATTATCTGCCATTAACTATTATGCCATTAAATCTCTCAGGCTAGGCCTATCATCATGAAATTTTCATATCTTTCAATTGCGTACTGTAAACGCTGTTATTTTTTAGTGATTAATTTTTTGTGCTGACCGACCCCAAAACATATTCGCAGGTTCTTAAATTTGCGTTGCACGCAATACAGCACGTTCAAAACATGCAAGAGAAGTCATGCATATATTTTTGCAAGTTCATCAATCAGCATAAACTCCAACAGTGGGAACTTGTTTTGTCTCCCATGAAAAAGGATATAAATAAATATATGTTTGTAAAAAATGTTGTGATCTGTACAAGTTTGTATGTTTGTTTCCTTATATCATAACTTGAATCCAGGCCAGCACATCAAATGAAAGTAGATGTGTACTTCACACGTTCTTAGCTGTAGTCTCCCAGTATCATTGCAGTTACGAAGGGGCCCAGGCAACCAACACTTCAGTAATTTCTTTAAAAAGGTGCTTTTCCATTTAAAATCTAAAACCAATTACAAACTCTCTTCCTTACCGACAACATAGACCTTGTTCTTCTTATTCTTGAAGTAGTAATAGGTGAACTGTGAAATGATAAGGGCATCCATAAATAGGTAGTAAACGGCAGTCGCTAGCTGAAAAACAGAAGATCAAGAGAAGAAAAAATCTAAGATAGAGAAAAAACATACATAACAATGATTAGACTATTTGATATTTGATATGGATATGAAAGCATTTGAATCCTTCCTGAATTTGTTCCAAAATGTACGACAGAAGATCGCTGACAGGTTATAGAAAAATCATTTATGTCTATACATGTACTTCGACATGAAGAAAAAAAAGTTATGATAAATTTCACTAAGACTCCTAATCTCAGTACCTCAGTACAAATAACTTTAAAATTACATATATATCATTGTGATTAAGTGATCAATTTTTAAGGACTAAATATCAAACTGTGGCTCCTTAAGATTTTCACTTTACATTTCTTATTTGACCGATTTCAATCGAAGAATTATTGTTATAATCTGTATTCACAAGTATTATTAAGACTCATTAAAACAAGGATACAAGATGGTTTACTCATTTAACCTGAAAAGAAATCAATACATGGTAAAGACCCATAACAATTATGAAGCCTGAACCAGAAAAGTGACCTGAAGACTGCCAAGTGGAAATCCATTCACTATTATATACTACACAAATAATCTTCCTGTGCCACATTGAATTTATCATGGGAAAGATAAGATAAAGAATGCTTCAATATTTTACCTGTTCCCAGTGGAAGATTAATCTATACCAGTGTTCAAATTAGTGCTGTGGTCAAACGTTTAACCATCCGGTATCCAAACGTCCATGGCACTATCCGTTCTCAATTGGACGGTTTTGTTTTCCTGTTTTTTTTTTGTTTGTTTTTTTAATACCAGTAACAATTTTTTTTTTTTATTAATATTGGAAAATCCAAAATGTACATAATTAGAAACAAAATCACTGAACAAACACGGAGCCTTTACTGTCCAGCATGCTTTGGAATAATGACTGGGTTTCAATTTGTTTATGAAGCTAATAAATCAAGTTTTGCCAACATTATACCGGTAGTCATCATAAGTAAGCCCTGACTGTTGAATTGCAGAGCAACAATCTACATGATAACAATCAATTTCAAGATTGTAGATTGAGAAGTTGACTAATAAAACTATGTTCCCAGCCTTGAAATACATGCACAAAACTTCTCTGATGCCATTTATTTAAAAAATATTAAACTAGATGGAATTCGACTGCGCGCAGTCGAAAATGATGCCTCCGTTATAGAGCAATTTTACAAACCAAAACAGAAAAAAAAAATAGAATTCACGTTTAATGGTAATCCATTGACAGGTTCTCAGAATATTGTAATTACAAGCAATTTCTCATATACATATATGACCCTTTGATTTTTGACCTCATGACCATAAAATCTACTCAGTTCATTGGCTCTGCAAGATGTTCTGAGTTAAATAGTAATCCATCTGTCAGTTCTAATGAGAATGCGTTCACAAGCTATTTTTGCATACATAATGGGCCCATGACCTTTGACCTTTGACCTTATGAACCAAGAATCTACTCAGTTCATTGGCTCTGCAAGTAACAAACATGACCTAATTTTGGCATGAATCCATCAATCGGTTCTTGAGATAACGCGATCACAAGCTGTTTTTGCATTCATAATGTGCGCTGTGGCCTTTGACCTTTGACCTACGTGCTCCAAAATCTAATCAGATTGTCTTCCTATGGTGATACACACTATCATTAAAGATAAACTTTAGTACTGGTAATGCGATTGCATTGTGAAAGAAAAGGTGTGAAAGGATCAGAAACAGTTGATCATGTAGCATGTAAGTATTGGTGTGCACTGCAAGGTTCTGGAGTCATCAAAATCATAATAAATTTGACCGAGTCTTGGTAAAGTAACAAACACTCACATAGAAAGCTATATATGGGACAACACACATGGTGTCGGGGATGGTACTACCTTGGTTTCCTTGTCTTTCTATGCTCATTACTCAGCCAGTATACATTTTCTTCCAAAATTGTTTGGCACATGTCATTTATTTGTAATCTTGAACATTCAGTGTAAGTTTTGTTTGATTCTGTGAGAATTAATTAATTTTTTTTTACCAGTACTGGAGTTTATCTTTAAGTTTGAAGTTTTTACATCTCCAGTGGTTCTTGAGATATCATGATAACAATCTCAATGTATGGAATTCTATAAGTTGACCTCTGTGACCCTTGACCTTTGACCTACGTGCTCCAAAATCTAATCAGATTGTTTTCCTATAGTGATACACACTATCACTAAGTTTGAAGTTTAAATCTCCAGTGGTACTTGAGATATCACGATAACAATCTCAATGTATGGAATTTCATAAGTTGACCTCTGTGACCCTTGACCTTTGACATACGTGCTCCAAAATCTAATCAGATTGTTTTCCTATAGTGATACACACTATCACTAAGTTTGAAGTTTAAATCTCCAGTGGTTCTTGAGATATCATGATAACAATCTCAATGTATGGAATTTCATAAGTTGACCTCTGTGACCCTTGACCTTTGACATACGTGCTCCAAAATCTAATCAGATCGTCTTCCTATGGTGATACATACTATCCTTAAGTTTGAAGTTTAAATCTCAAATGGTTCTTGAGATATCGCGCTAACAAACTCAATACAAGGAATTTCATAAGTTGACCTCTGTGACCTGTGACCTTTGACCTACGTACTCCAAAATCTAATCAGATCGTCTTCCTATGGTGATAAATACTATTCCCGAGTCTTAAGTTTAAATCTTAAATGGTTCTTGAGATATTGTGATAACGGTCAAACGGGACGGACGTACGGACGGACGGACGGTACTACTCACGACAGTATGCTTGTGAGATTTTTGTCTTGTGTGACTGAAAAAAAGGGGTATCTTGTGTGTCTTTTCATTTTTTCCTTCTAAAGACTACTTGTGTGTCTTAATTCCCAACTTCTTGTGTGTTTGTCTAAAATTAAATGAAAATGAATCTTGTGTGTTTTTTAATACAATATGTGTTGAGAATGGTTTTTAAAATTAAAATTAAGGCTTGTATGCCCAAAAGACATTATTGTCTACCTCTATCCAACTTTAATCCAAGTCAGGAAAATTAAGGCTTGTGTCCCGCAAAAACACATCATTTACCCGCCTAAGTCGTGAAAATTGAGGCTTGTGTGGCAGAAAAGACAATCAGCTACCCTGTCCAAGACAAGAAAATTAAGGCTTGTGTGCCTAAAAAACTTGATGTCCAAAAAATATACAACTATTTATTTGTGACTTTTGAATGACCAAAAAATTGATTTATCTTTTTTCCTCATTGAATAGAAACATCACACACATATAATACAGGTAATGCAATAATATTCCAATGCTGTGGAGGAACCAATGAAAAGCCAAGGAGCTTGTCATGGCAGAAAGACATTATTATATACCGCTGTCCAAGTCAAGAAAATTAAGGCTTGTGTGGCATAAAAAACATTACATGTATTATATACCTCTGTCCAAGTCAAGAAAATTAAGGCTTGTGTGGCATAAAAAACATTACATGTATTATATACCTCTGTCCAAGTCAAGAAAATTAAGGCTTGTGTGGCAGTAAGACATTACGTGTATTATATACCTCTGTCTAAGTCAAGAAAATTAAGGCTTGTGTGGCAGTAAGACATTATTATCTATCCCTGTCCAAGTCAAGAAAATTAAGGCTTCTGTGGCATAAAAAAAACATTACATGTATTATATACCTCTGTCCAAGTCATGAAAATTAAGGCTTGTGTGGCAGTAAGACATTACATGTATTATATACCCCTGTCCAAGTCAAGAAAATTAAGGCTTGTGTGGCAGAAAAACATTACATGTATTATATACCTCTGTCCAAGTCATGAAAATTAAGGCTTGTGTGGCAGTAAGACATTACATGTATTGTATACCCCTGTCCAAGTCAAGAAAATTAAGGCTTGTGTGGCAGAAAAACATTACATGTATTATATACCTCTGTCCAAGTCACGAAAATTAAGGCTTGTGTGGCAGTAAGACATTATTGTCTACCCCTGTTTAAGTCAAGAAAATTAGGGCTTGTGTGGCAGAAAGACATTACATGTATTATATACCTCTGTCCAAGTCATGGATATTAAGGCTTGTGTGGCATAAAAAACATTACATGTATTATATACCTCTGTCCAAGTCAAGAAAATTAAGGCTTGTGTGGCAGAAAGACATTACATGTATTATATACCTCTGTCCAAGTCAAGAAAATTAAGGCTTGTGTGGCATAAAAAACATTACATGTATTATATACCTCTGTCCAAGTCAAGAAAATTAAGGCTTGTGTGGCATAAAAAACATTACATGTATTATATACCTCTGTCCAAGTCAAGAATATTAAGGCTTGTGTGGCAGTAAAACATTACGTGTATTATATACCTCTGTCCAAGTCAAGAAAATTAAGGCTTGTGTGGCAGAAAAACATTACATGTATTATATACCTCTGTCCAAGTCATGAAAATTAAGGCTTGTGTGGCAGTAATACATTACATGTATTATATACCCCTGTCCAAGTCAAGAAAATTAAGGCTTGTGTGGCAGAAACACATTACATGTATTATATACCTCTGTCCAAGTCAAGAAAATTAAGGCTTGTGTGGCAGAAACACATTACATGTATTATATACCTCTGTCCAAGTCAAGAAAATTAAGGCTTGTGTGGCAGAAAGACATTACATGTATTATATACCTCTGTCCAAGTCAAGAAAATTAAGGCTTGTGTGGCAGAAAGACATTATTATCTACCCCTGTCCAAGTCAAGAAAATTAAGGCTTCTGTGGCATAAAAAAAACATTACATGTATTATATACCTCTGTCCAAGTCATGAAAATTAAGGCTTGTGTGGCAGAAAGACATTAATGTCTACCCCTGTCCAAGTCCAGAAAATTAGGGCTTGTGTGGCATAAAAAAAAACATAACATGTATTATATACCTCTGTCCAAGTCATGAAAATTAAGGCTTGTGTGTCAGAAAGATATTGTCATCTACCCCAGTCCAAGTCAAGAAAATTAAGGCTTGTGTGGCAGAAAAACATTATTGTCTACCCCAGTCCAAGTCAAGAAAATTAAGGCTTGTGTGGCATAAAAACATTACATGTATTATATACCTGTACCACTGTCCAAGTCAAGAAAATTAGGGCTTGTGTGGCAGAAAGGTATTATTATCTACCCCAGTCCAAGTCAAGAAAATAATGGGCTTGTGTGGCAGAAAGACATAACAAGTGTTATATACCTCTGTCCAATTCATGAAAATTAAGGCTTGTGTGGCAGAAAGACATTATTATCTACTCCAGTCCAAGTCAAGAAAATTAAGGCTTGTGTGTCAGAAAGACATTATTATCTTCCCCTGTCCAAGTCAAGAAAATTAAGGCTTGTGTGGCAGAAAGACATTATTATCTTTCCCTGTCCAAGTCAAGAAAATTAAGGCTTGTGTGGCAGAACGACATTATCGTCTACCCCTGTCCAAGTCAAGAAAATTAAGGCTTGTGTGGCAGAAACACATTATTATCTACCCCAGTCCAAGTCAAGAAAATAATGGGCTTGTGTGGCAGAAAGACATAACAAGTATTATCTACCCCTGTCCAAGTCAAGAAAATTAAGGCTTGTGTGGCATAAAAAAAACATTACATGTATTATATACCTCTGTCCAAGTCATGAAAATTAAGGCTTGTGTGGCAGTAAGACATTACATGTATTATATACCCCTGTCCAAGTCAAGAAAATTAAGGCTTGTGTGGCAGAAAAACATTTCATGTATTATATACCTCTGTCCAAGTCATGAAAATTAAGGCTTGTGTGGCAGAAAAACATTACATGAATTATATACCTCTGTCCAAGTCATGAAATCTAAGGCTTGTGTGGCAGTAAGACATTATTGTCTACCCCTGTCTACGTCAAGAAAATTAGGGCTTGTGTGGCAGAAAGACATTACATGTATTATATACCTCTGTCCAAGTCATGGATATTAAGGCTTGTGTGGCAGTAAGACATTATTGTCTACCCCTGTCCAAGTCAAGAAAATTAAGGCTTGTGTGGCAGAAACACATTATTGTCTACCCCTGACCAAGTCAAGAAAATTAGGGCTTGTGTGGTTGAAACACATATTATTATCTACCCCAGTCCAAGTCATGAAAATTAAGGCTTGTGTGGCAGAAAGACATTATTGTCTACCCCTGTCCAAGTCAAGAAAATAGAGGCTTGTGTGGCAGAAAGACATTATTATCTACCCCACTCCAAGTCAAGAAAATTAAGGCTTGTGTGTCAGAAAGACATTATTATCTTCCCCTGTCCAAGTCAAGAAAATTATGGCTTGTGTGGCAGAAAGACATTACATGTATTATATACCTCTGTCCAAGTCATGAAAATTAAGGCTAGTGTGGCAGAACGACATTATTGTCTACCCCCTGTCCAATTCAAGAAAATTAAGGCTTGTGTGGCACAAAAAAACATTACATGTATTATATACACTGCACACACAAAACCATCCACCCATGACACACACACACACAGAGCCATACACTGCCTACTACTTTGCTTACAAATACTACACACTTACAAGTCACACACACACACACAAAGTACTGCAGATGCGCATAGTACCTAGCTACCTGGATGTCAACTGTAGATGGCACTATTCCGTTTGGCTACTTGGACACAACCCCTCTCTAAAATTTGGACATTTATTTTGGGCCTTTTTTTGGGAGAAACTTTTCTTGTGTGACTAAATCTTAGTTGATTAGAAATGACATGTCAGACATCTTAGACACTGAATTTGATAGTTTTCTTGTGTGGCTAGACACACAAGTCTAAACTGACACACAAGGATATCTCATACGTAAAACTAAACACACAAGCATACCATCGCAAACTCGGACGGACGTACGGACGGACGGACGGACGTACGGACGGACAACCCGAAAACATGATGCCTCCGGCACCACCTTCGGTGGCGGAGGCATAAAAATATAAAATATTTTAAAATCGGTTTTGACTTCCGGTTACAACACTAGTTCAAATGGTTGGAATGGAGCTAATCAAGACAGGAAGGAGTAATTTTGCAATTAAAGAGATTAGGTTGTACACAGCAAACCGTCCATCATCGTATGCCTATTGTTTTGTGCAAAATTGCAAGAGTGGCAAACAAGCAACAAGCAACCATGCAGAGGCTAAGAACAAAATCAAAGTGTTAACTGTTAAAATGCTTGGCATGACTCAGGGGTGATAGTGAGCACTAAAAAAAAGAAGGGTTTTTTTCCCCCTCAACCACGCCCCCCTTGAGCAAAAAAAGAAAGAGGATTTGGGAGAAAAAAATGGCATTCCCCCCCCCCCCCTCCCCCTTTTTGAGTTAGAAAATTGGGGGAAAATTGGGGAAAATAGGGAAAATAGGGAAGAAATAGGGGAAAATAGGGGAAAATAGGGAAAAATAGGGGAAAATAGGGAAGAATAGAGAAAATAAGGGAAAAATCAGGATAAAATCGGAAGGAAAAAAAAAGGAAAAAAATAGGGTAAAAAAAAAGAAATTAAAAAAATCAGGGGAGAAAAAAAAAACCAGGAAGAAATCCGGAGAAAAAAAATCAGGAAACCGATTTAAATCGGGTTTTTATCAGGCCTGATGACTATAAGTTTGTTTACCTGTGTGAATAGTTGATGAGTTAGAAGACATCCTACTAGATTGGATAAATCACCAAACATCCACAGAATCAAGAAAGCTGGAGCAATGGCCTCATCCATTTTACCCCTCTTGAAGTTCTCATAGAATTGCCTTAATTGAAACAAAAAATAGGATAAACAGGTATGTACACACTATTCATGTATGTGTATTTAGAATTCAGTTATTTTTATGATTTTCAAAGTGCGAATCGAAGCAGTTGGCTCACAACCGGACTGCAGCTGCAAACACGCACTTGTAAAAAGACGCACATCGGTTTGTGACCATAGCATTAGCTGAGTGGTTACATGATATTCTAAATATTTTTAATTACCATAGACATATTAGCATGATCATTTATAAGTGTGCGTCTTGTATTATCTCATATACAAGAAATAATTTAAGTCAATTGAGGTCAATTAGAAAGAAAATACAAAAGTGCCGTCAAAGAGATATCGACTATTTCAGTTGTAATGAACGTAACATTTTCAGAGGCTGCCTGCTAGTTATCCACTAATAATTGGCAGCTAACTTTATTGGCAAAGTTTAGTTCTTGTCATGGGAGTGCATTGTGAAAGAAACGGTGTGGAATCAAACAGAAAAGGTTGATCATCTAGCATATTAGAATTTGTGTGCATTGCAAGGTTCTGGAATCATCGAAATTAGAAGAAAGACATTTGGCCAAGTCTTGGTAAAGTTACAAACACTGTACACAGAAAGATGTATATGGGACTACACAAACATGTGGCATAAAAATCTGTCCCGAATTTTTTTTGCTGTTACAGCTTTTCAGGGAACATGTCTTCTCTGATGTTCTTCCACACTTGCATGATAAGAATGATAACGCTCACAAATATTTTTCACCTCTTCCCAGCACTCAACCTTCTCGTTAACAGGCCTTCTTCAGGACAATCATTATACTTACGGGAACATTACAAGGATCCAGCAAAGAAGCTGAATAAGACCCAGAATGAAACCTGTATATTCCACCGCATTTGTCACACATTCCCCGAACAAGGTCCAGATCCAGGGAACATAGTAAGGCTCGACAGAACAGTTGAAGTGTTTCTGACCATAATTGTACAGCTCATGATCATGTGAACCATACGGCATCGAAAGAAGCTTTATCGGTGAGTAGCCCGCCATCCTCTCCGACTTTGATTTGCACCACAACAATCTGAAAAGAGATAAGAACTCTGATGGGTTAGTGCTCAACATTTACATGATACCACAATTTCCTGATTGCTATTGGCCTATTTTCTTGACTTTTACACAAGTTCTACCAACTTTTTCACTTACATATATTTGAATTCTTGAACAGTCAGTGTAAATTTGGTGTGATTTTTAGAAATTTTTATTTTTCATTATAAGCCGAGCTCAAGAATAAACTTCTGCGTTAGCATTGAATACTCAGGCACATTTCTACACTCTTTACATTATTAGTCACTCAAGCTTCAAGTTTTTTATTCAAAACTTGTTCACAAATCTGTTTGTTTGTTTTGCATTTTTTTTAAATAAGTCAGTGAGATACACAGCCCCAACTTTCAGGATTCCTGTGGGTTTAAAGTTAATCTACAAAAAACAATGTTCAACCAAACTGACCAATGAAAAAGTAGAAATTTTTAAAAAAAATTGTAGAGAAATTAGCCGGTAATCGGCCAGCTCCAGTTTACGGCCGATTGGTTGGATGCAAGGTAAAATCCCTCTAAAATACATCGCATAATAGCATAACACATATCCCACACATACCATACCATGCCAGTGTCACTGAAGAACCACATTTGCAATGAAAAATATATCCTAAAATATCACATTTTAGCGATGTAATCGGCGGTCCCGCTACCCGAATCTGAAAAATCGAGTATCTTACGCGTGTCTGTAAGAAATATGGGTACCATAAAATGAGCTTTATTTCAAGTATTTTTCAGATTTAGAGCCCGATTTTGTGCTAGTCACAAGCTCAAAAGTATCTCATCGCATGTATTAAATCAATGCAGCCGCACATCGCAACGCACACACGATATCTCTGTCTAATACCCCATTCACAGTGGCCTCAAACACCGCGACAGCAGCGGGACTGTCCCGCTGCTGTCGCGGTGTTGTCTTCAGTGTGAAGGCTCGGACCCGTTATAAACTATCGCGGGATAACACCGCCTCGCGATAACGCCGCGACAAACTATCGCTAGGCTCGCCTAGCTACAGCAGCGGGACAGTCCCGCTGCTGTCGCGGTGTTTACTCAGTGTGAAGGCTCTCCGCTATAACACCGCGACAAACACGTGTGATTTGTTTACTTACCTATCACTGACCTCTTTTCTCCAGCAATGGGGAACATAAAGTGAAATAGAAATAAAGTAACCAGTGGATTCAAATTGATTTTATTATTATGTAGATATTATAATTATCCAAATAAAAATATTTCACACTTCAAAAAATTAAAATATTCTGACTGGAAGCAATAAAAATGCTAGTTTTTTAAAAAGTAATATGATCGAGGATACAAAAAGCAACTTGACATGTTTACCTTTTGCAAGCTTGCCTTAATCGAAAACCCCGCGCTGAAGTATCTCTGGTCATATCGGGGTCACTCGCGGGTCATGGGCCATGCATACACGTGTTTGTTAGGGAGGTAATAAAAATCACCCGCTGCAGCGTGAATGGGTACATGATATTTACCCCGCTGCTGCAGCGGGATAACTTTTCTACTGTGAATGCATTTGTAGCGGTGTCATGGCGGTGTCGCCGCTCCGCTACAACGCCGCTACAAATTTCAAAACCACTGTGAATGGGGTATAATTCAGATTCCAATATCCGATCACCGCAGTACTAGTTTTCGGCCTGGCGAGCTCCGGGGAGCTCCGGCGTGGGATATCTGCTATAGATCAGCGTGCGCGCGCTTCCTATTGACTTTGTACATGCGGCCGAAAACTGGTACGCTATGCCGAAAACCGACTCCGAAACAGTGAAAATTGAAATGAATATTGTCATGGCAATTCGTGATTTTTTTTTCTGGGATTCTTGTTTTGTGTAAATAATAATAATATTTGCTTCATGATTTGAACAAAAAATGATAATAAATAGGAAGTAAAGGGTCCAAAAAATAGGATTTTGTCTTAAGTGGCCGAAAACCGGCTCCTTTACTCTATATCAATACAAAATTGTTGAGGTATTTTGATGTCCAGATAGTCTACTCATGACTGACTTACTCCTGTTATTGAGTGTCTCCAAGACGGCCACCAGCTCTAGCCTCTAGTGATCCGACAGCCACTTCTCAGACTCGATTAATCTCAGTTTCCTTTTCTATAGCATTCATTACTGAATCTGTGAAATGATGAGTCTCCAACTCAGCCTGATAGCATCTCCGTCATTCTCTTTCTGTATAAAGTGTAAGTCACTAAGTGTAACCATACAATTAGATCTACTGTTGTAAAACAAAAATACTGATCTAGAGTCTAGTCTAAGCTAGTCCAGTCGTCACGGACTTGTCTTGTCGTTGCCTTTGAGTTTGATTAGTTTAAATTTTTTTCTTCCTAGATAAACTTCACTTCAGAGACTGAGCATGAATGTGAGTAGTCTCGATCTCCTACTCCTAGTAGTAGTAGTAGTAGATCTAGTAGTAGTACACTAAACACTAAACAAACGTTACGTTATCGTTAGGCTACTCGTGATAAACCCTCGGCCTCGATTCACGCCTGTGTACACTTTTGAGAGCGCAAACTACACCCGTTCATCCTCATCCACTGACATCAGCTATCGCAGATCAGTCACAAGATTTGGAGTAAAACAATAGACACACGATTATCTTTATTTTTACCCACTCATCCAAAGGTCGTCAGACTCAGAGACATTGTCTATTAAAGTCTAATCTTCTTTAGATCGCGGAGGCGAGGCAGAGTACTCATAATATCAATCTTACCAGTCAATTTAGTGTTGACTGGTATACCGAACTGTGATGAACTTTTGTGTGCATGCAGTGCAGTGTGCTGTGCAGTGCATGCAATCAGCTGAGGGGAGATACTGTACTTGGCCGCAATGCAAATCCTGCAGCAATGTTGTCATCAAAGCAATGTCATGTGACCATGATTTGGTCATGGGATCAAAAAGCCGGTTGTAGTCTACGTTCCATAAACCGAATTAGTCTAGTGACAATAATTGACAATGATTTTTTATTTCTTTAACGGCCCCTTCTGGGGCATGGAAGAAATACAGTTGAAAAGTACATATATAATGTTCAACAATGATATTCATATAGAAAATATTGTTTTTAAATTAAAATTTTTAAACATTAAAATCTTTAAAAACAAGAAAATCTTTCAAAATGAATTGAATTTTTAACAATTTTAATTATTATTATTATTTGTATGGTTTCAAAATATTGTCTATTATCACTGAAATGTTATAAATAATACAGGATGTCATATTTAAGCAATTTTATCATTAGGCCTACAATCGAAGAACAATGCAGAAGTCGTCCTGCATCTTCAGCTCTAGCCGATGATAAAAAATGTCTAGTGACTCATACTAGATACTAGTCCAGTCTCAAAAGTGAAAGACCGAATAAGAACCCCGGGGGGGGGGGGGGGTTCACATATTAAGACATAAGGGGTGTGCCGCTCTAATGGGTCACTTTATCTATTTAAATAAAATCCCTAAACATGCGTTCCATTTTTAACAAAAATATCCCTCAACATAGGACCGTTTTTAAAAATTCTCAAATTTGTCGTTGCCCCTTCAGAATGGGTAGGGAGTTTGAGGCTTCAGTGGCACACACCCGTCCAAACCAAATCTGAGTACCCCCCCCCCCCCTCCCCCAGATAAGAACTGACCTACTTTAAAAGAAGGAAAATGAAATAGAATTTTGTTTAAAGTAACCTTTAACATGTGATAATTTGGTTGTTGTTTTTTCTTTGTTGGTTTGTCTACCATCAGAAATTATTTTGACTTGTGCCCCCCCCCCCCGCCCCAACACTCAAACCAAATATAGCTTCAACGAGCGACAATGTAAATGGAATACAATTTGCTTTTTGAGAGAGACAGAGAGACAGAGAGAGAGACAGAGAGAGAGACAGATCGAGAGACAAAGGGACAGAGCGTTGAGCAGGAGGTTTCGTGAGAAGTGATATAGCGCCATCTGTATTTAGAGACAGCACATGCAGTATATAGTCACTGTGCAAGTAGCTCATTCAAAATGTATAACAGGCAGGGCAGCTGGGTTGGTGTGGCGGCAGTTGCTACTGCTCTGATACAGGACTCAAATATATATATATATTTTTTTTTAATTAAACAATTAAAAAATCACGTTTACCTACTGATGAAAAATTCTTTTATTAATGTAACCCATCATTTCTGACAAAATCAACGCAACACTTCATTTTGATATGCCTTAGTGGAATTCACCTGAATTGCTTTTGACTTATGGATGATAAATAATCATTATTTATTATTTGTTATTGCCTCATCTTTATTAGAAAGCTTTGGAAGAGGTGCAAAGTATTAGAATTGTCATTAAAGTACAAAAGATTTCTGGTGGTAGCTTATAATCCATCATTTGTGAAAGTGCCTAAATGTTTTTGTTTTTTGTAACAGTTATTGAAAAATTTCATAAAAGTGTGGTGGGAAAACATTCATTATTAGCAAAAATTGCAGTCAGTTTTGTTTCCAAGGTTGAGTTTTGCAACTCTTAAAGAGGTAGTGTTTTATTCACCCCGTATGTTGATGTGTACACTATGAGGTCTTTAACTTTTACCCTTGGACAGAAAACTGCAAGTCTTTTGATTTAAAATTGTGCACACACTTTCATAAACTCAGGCTTGCTGCTTCATTTTTACGGGCTTGAAAAATCTCTGATAGGGGCTTTAATCCAGTAGTGCATGTAGCCTAGGATGCCATTAGCGCCGTATATGACACTTTATCTTGAAGGTCTAGCATGAGAAATAAATCAACATTTAAATTAAATAATACGTAACAACAACAGTGCTTCTTCATCCATATTAGGTTCTTTATATTGATGTAGTTGTCTAAAATGTGGTAGAAACTTGTTGTCATCCCCATTGCCATGACACCCAACTTTAAAACAAGTGTGTGTGGAGGTGGAGGGGGGGGGGGGGCCTTGGGGACAAACCCTCTATTCCGGGCACCAGGCGCGGATCCACGTAGCGATTATAGTATAGGATAAAATAATAGGATAATATAAATGATAATAGATAATATGATAAAAATAGGATAATAACGTAAATTTAACCTTTTTTTTAAAACAAAAAACAAAAGCGGCCCCCCCAACAACAAACAAATTAGATATATTTTCTATTTTCTCCCCCCTCAAAACAAATTAGTGGTTCTCCTCTCGAATGACCCCCCCCCCCCCCCCCCCCCCCCCGCTTATTCAGCGACCGGCTGAGTCGGCGCTAATTTTTTCCACAAAAAAAGTGTTCTCCCCCCCCCCCCCCCCCCCGCTTATTCACCGGCCCGGCCGGCTGAGTCGGCGCTAACAAAAATTCTCAAGATTTGGCCCCCCCCCCCCCCCCCCTCCTGTCGCCGGCTGGATCCGCTCCTGCCGGGCACCACTATTTATCTAAATTATGTCAATTCATCTTCAGGTCTGTTTGTTTGTTTGTATGCAAAGATAATACTTTTTTTTTCATTTGATTTTATGATTTTATCTCATGATGTCGAGTGGACCTATCATAATACGTAAGCTCGTACTTTTTTTTAAAGCCCCACTGCAATACTTATAGCTACTTGCGAAACAATGCCTAATCGGTGCATGTTGGTCCCCCATGATCCCCTTTTTCTTATGTTAATTGAGAGCTGATTTGATGAGATAACCACCTGTCAGTGACCTTGCAGGGAGGTCTAACCCCCCTGGTCAAACTAGTGCAGACGGGATTTAAAAGTTGAATTCGACTTGCTTGCTGGTCAGATTCCTTTCGGAAATCTCCGCTTCATTAACGAATTCCCCGTTGCGTGCCCCTGATTAAAGGCACGAAGTGCCCTTTTTAAGGGAAATAAACTGAGGAGAACATGGAAAATGAAGCATACGACCTGTGACGTATCTCGGAGTATATGCATGAAGTCCAAGTCATGAATTCATGATGTGACAAAGTAAACACGTGTCGGTCTAAATTAACTTATTGACATTTGTATCAAGCTTGTCAGCACTGTCAGCACTATTATGTATATTTTGCTGGCTTGTTCAGTTTCCCGCAACGAGGTGCAAATTATATTCTGCAGCTAATCAGTTGATAATTATTGAGGAGGGGGGGGGGGAGTATTAAAAGCAAAAGGCACTTTATGAAAAAGGGGCACATGCAAAGGGAATCCTCATTGGTATATACCCCTACATTGTGATTACATTATCAGGGATGAATTCAATATTTAGTTTCTCTCTTTGCATGATAATTTTGCAGTTGGGGGCTGGCGCGCCGGAAGCAGTTTTACATGGGGAGGGGCGCGTGAAAGGTGCCGATTCCGTGAGAAAATATTTAGCAGCGACTCAGCCGACCAAAGGCCAAATAAGCGGGGGGGGGGGGGGGTATGGAGCTCTAATTTATTTTACTCAACAGCCACCCCCCACCTTTTTTTTGTGGGTGTGCTATTTTGGTGCCAGGGAGGTGCCGGGAACCCCCCCCCCCCCCCCCCTGGATCCACCCCTCATGCCCCGCGGAACGTTATTCAAAGTGGAGTATTAACGATCTTCAGTTAGAGTGTTGCGAGCAAAGCGAGTGGAGCGGAAATTGGCGTTGGGTCAAGGGGCGGAGCCCCCGGAAGCTCAGGTGCTTTATGCATTACATTTCGGTCAGATAAGCATTTTAGCCCCATGCAACTTTGAGGCATTTACTGACGGTCAGATGAGCATATTTTGATAACTCATTTGTGACACTGGCAGGTCACTCATTCTTTCTTTATCTCTTTCTTTCTTTTTTTCTTTAACACACTTTTTCAAATAGGTGAGGGGGCTCGAGCCTCCGAGTCCCACCGTTTTGTAGGCGCTAACATGAAAGCTTTTAATAAGCATATTTTTGGTCTGACTGTAAATTTGAGAATTTGTAACTTTCCCCAAAACGCATAAAAAAGTATAATTTATATTTTTTAAATTGAGAACAAATCCTAGAAAATCATGTTATTATAGCAACATTTGTAATTCGCTGGTATCGAATTAGCAATAAACCACGTTTGAATTTTATTAGGGGAGGGGGCAACTGCCCGCTCTCCAAGCCCCCCCCCCCCCATCAGTACTCCAGTTTTCAGGGGCTCATGTCTTCTCACCCCTATTATAAAAACATACACGCTTTCACATCCTCTCACAATATTTCCACGATAAATTATGCGCGTATCGCTATTATAAAATCGTCCATTGATAAATAAAGGGGCATGCGGAATGTTTTAGGAAATTTAATTCCTGTTTACTCTCCTTTTCTTTTCTTAATGTGATTTAATTCAGGTTTTTTTAAAAATTATTATTATAAAGAGGAATAAACCGATCCCGATTGGGTTTTGAACACAATTTATTTTAAATATGAATGCGGGCGAGCTTTAGAGGAAATTAAAGAACAAGTTGCTCTCAGTCGCTTTTAACAGAGGCACATGTTAGTGTGAAAAACAAAAGAGGGCATTTTTCAGACGCGAAAAGCACATTTATTAGAAAAGAAAAAGGAACACGTGTCAAGGGTAAAAGTTCAATTATCAAAGGTGAACATGGGGCACTTCTCGCATCTCAAAAGGACCAGTCACAAGAAATGAAAAAGGGCACTTATGATAATGGAAAAGAGGTATTTGCAAAGCCAAAATGGGGACACCCACCAAATTTGGTTAATAGTGCATTTATCTTGAAGAGGGGGTGTTTATGAGAAGGGAAAGGGGTTCAGGAAGAGGGGGCACTTATCAGAAGGAAAAAGGGCACTAATTTGAAAAGGAAAGGGGACGTGTCATAATAAAAGGGGCTCTTATTAAAAGGGGAAGGGGCACTTCTTACAAAGGGAAGAGGTCCTTTAAAGAGAAAAGGGGCACCTCTCATATTTGAAAAGGACAATCAAAAGAGTTAAAGCCGGGGCAGGCACTTATCAAAGTAATGTGTAAAAGGGCATTTATAAGACTGGAACGGGCAACTTTGATAGAAGAAGGGGCACGTTTGTGGTATTCCAACAAAAAAGAGTGTGGGGTGCACTGACCCCCCCCCCCCCCCCCTGGGAGCGCCGCCTCTGTTATCGAGTCATAGTGCATGTTGTAAGAACAAGGGTATAGGCCCAAATTATGTTCATACAGTCGGAATATATGCCTACAGTATTTGCCGTTATGTCCTCTTTTATTACTTTTTTTTTTCACGAAATCTCTCAACGACTCTTGCCCTAAAACTACCAACATAATTAAATCAATGTATGATTTTTATTTGTAATCTAACCCTTTTGGTAATATATCTCGGGTCTATCATTTGGGCTTATAATTATAGTCCTCTCCAATATGAGCGCTTCCCCAGTTCGTGAGTATATAATACAACGGCTGCAGAGCAAGAGTTTTTACTTCGGGTACCCCGACTAAAATGACGTCATCGTAGGAAAATTGCAATCCTCCGATTGCCATCGGAAATACACGATTACCCTCGAAAGTCAGGAACCTCTACCTTCGGCCTTCGGGTTTTGTCTCCTTCCAAATACCCGTGACAAGGTAATGGATATTTATGTATCTCTTTGGAAATCGATGCTCATCTTGAATATTGCTTCATATTAGATATTGTGTTGCATATGTTTCGAAAGATGTATATTTCAGCTAACTGTTTTAGCTGTTATTTTCTTTATTTATGCAGGAGATCTCTACCAAACACGGTAAACAACGGCTGGTCCTGACGTGGGACTACCGTACTAATTGCAAGTTGCCATGAGCTATTCTAATCAACCGAAGGGGAAAGGCGTGTATTTCCAACAACAACAGTATCCTTTTCTTATTATTTTTGTTTATGAATGACCGGCCCAGCCCGCTGTGAGCATTATAAACGTTTTGTTGGTATGTGTCCACCATAATTTACTATTAAAAAGCTTCCTTTTTGAAAACTATACCCACCATACGTGTTCTAAATCTGCTGCATAGCACACTGACGTTACATGTTACGCAGTTCGTACACGTAGCTTAGTGCAAAAAATGTAATGATCAATGGCAAGATGAGAATGCCGGTGCACTACCGGCGTTTTTATCTCTGTAGTTTTTTTACATTTCCTGCGGCAGTTCTGTTGAATATCACAACTTTATAACATCTAAATAATACATGTTATTGTCAGATTACATTCATACTTATATTTTGGTTAGATAACAAGTCAATATTGCAATTTGATGAGACTGGTGTTTCAGTGAGTGACATTGTTTGTGTGTGTGTGAGGCACATGTCTTCATTCATTGTGAATGGGACATGACATGGCCCATTCAATGGCAATGCATTAAAAATATATTGGCATTGAAATTGCAAAGTCGTAGCCCGCACACCGGCCTGCTGGCTTGAAGTGTTATGATATAGGCCTAGCCTAGATATTTAATTATAATCAAAACTGTCATATTGTTCGTGGACATCCCATAGGCATAGAATTAGAAACTCATTTTAGATCCATGGGATTTCCATGAAACTAAACTACGGTTTCGTGAAATTCGAAGTTGAACAGTAGAGACGCTGGTCCGAGAATGAGGATTGTCCGCATAAACGAGGATATCCTCGTAAACGCGGTCAAATTGCGTCTTAAAGAAATGATCTTTTATTTTTCTTATGCGCTCTGCGGGTTTCAGGTTCCCGATCTGCGCGCTGGCAATGCGAAAAAGGTATTCCGCATGATAAAATACCCGCAGTTCACTGTCTATTTTTTATATGGTTTGTCCATCTTCCCTAGGAATGCATCAAGAAAATCATTGTAGAATCCATTTTTTGCATCGCCAACGCACGAATCAAAAATAAGAATCGGCCGCGTTTACGAAGACGATCCTTATTCTTGGACTGGTCAGCTTTTGAAATGGTTTTTTCTACTTAAGTTTTTGATTATCGTAGATAGATCTAGACGGTAGACCTACGTAAAATTTTAACGAAAAAAATAATCTGTTGATTTTGTCGAATTAAGAATGAATCTTGTACTGTTGCAGTGGTTTTTTGTATATAAGTTTTGTTTTCTTCGTAGATCTAGACTGTAAAAATTTTATCAACAAATGATTTGTTGATTTTGTCAAATTAAAATAAATCTTGAATGCTAATGTGATATTATTTAATGCAATTGTCATTAGAGAAGTTATGACATTTTATTTTATTTAATACGCAAATAGGTAGTCTAGACTCTTGGCAAAAATGTTAATAAGCAGCACGCAAGTCGGGACAAGATCGTTATTCTGCATCGCGGTGTGCGCAAAATAATGTGTGTCCTGGGTCCGTCAATTTCATGAAATGGTGCATCACAATTTTGACTCAAATATGTTTCCTAATTGTAGGATTTTCTTTATGGATCGTTTTTCACCATTACAGTAGGGGAGCTGGTCCGAAAACGAGGATCGTCCTCAAAAAGAAGGATCATGTGCATTTTCGCGGACGTTTTTGTTTTCATCGGTGCTCTGCAGGTTTCGGGTTACCGAACCGCCAACTGGCGATGCGAATAATTGAGTCCGCATAAGAAAATAACCCTAGTTTACCGTAACCCTGTAAGTTGGGGCTCTGATCGCATCGGAAGATCGGAGCGACACCCTCGCACCTTTGATCGGTATCGGATCGGAAGATCGACTAAAAATATCGGCAAAACATGCGGGCTGCTATAATGCATACCTACATTATAATCCAAGATGACGGCCCGCCTGTTTTGCCTCTGCTCTAAGACCAATATTATTAATTTCAAAGTCATGAAACTGAATATCAACAAACATGGTCTACAACAACTCCAAATGACAAAATAATCCCAGCCATGATTTTTTTTTTAGCATTTGATGGCCAAAAACTTGAAAATTTTTGTCATTAAAAAAAAAAAAATACCTACAGTACATTATAATCCAAGAAAGATGGCGGCCCGTATGTTTTGCCTCTGCTCTTAGACCAATATTATTAATTTCAAAGTCATGAAAAGGCACCTAATATCAACAAACATGGTCTACAACAACTCCAAATGACAAAATAATCCCAGCCATGATTTTTTTTTTAGCATTTGATGGCCAAAAACTTGAAAATTTTTGTCATTAAAAAAAAAAAAAAACCTACATTATAATCCAAGAAAGATGGCGGCCCGTATGTTTTGCCTCTGCTCTTAGACCAATATTATTAATTTCAAAGTCATGAAAAGGCACCTAATATCAACAAACATGGTCTACAACAACTCCAAATGTCAAAATAATCCCAGCCATGACTTTTTTTTGAGCATTTGATAGCCAAAAATGTGAAAATTTTTTCCGATCATTTTTATTGATCGGCGATCGGAAATTATTATCCAATCACCCCTGATCAGATCGGTATCGGCGTCCGATCCGATGATCGTTTACAGGGTTAGTTTACCGTCAACTTTTATGGGTTGTCCATCTTATTTATCGCTCATAATGTGAAAGTCTCTATACAAAGTCAATGTAAAATGCATCAAGAAAATCATTGCAGAATATGTTTTTTCGCATCGCCAACGCGCCGATCAAAAATATGAAACGTGTGCGAAAATGCGGACAATCCTTTTTTTTGAGGACGCATCGGTCCGCGTTTACAAAGACAATCCTCGTGAATGCAGAAGATCCTTAATCTCGGATCGTGTGTGTTGGTTTGTGTATTCGTTCGGCAAACGGACCCGCATGCGGGTGCAAAATGAAGACAACAGAGGAGGAGTTTGCCGAACGCGCATAAGAAGCTCTGCAGCTAAGAACATGTGTAAGCTTTACCTTACGTGCGATGCAGATAGCTGTTCAGGTTGTAGAGCTGTTGAGCAATATTGATAACTCAGTGGTACCAATTTTTTTTCCATCCTGGACAAAAAGTAGTCAAATATTTTCTAGATTTTGGGGAGCTGTATCTTTTGATAGAAACATTGGTGAGTCTTAAAATTGGAAGTGTGTTCCTTTGAGTAGTTGATCTTTTAAAGTTGCTTAAGCGTGGGTATATAGTCGTTCGTGAAGTAGGCAACTTGGCGATCACTCCCGATCACTACATAACACAGAGCCAATGGCTCCTGTGCGTACGTCCGTGTGCTGCCCTCTATATACCCACGCTCGAGCAACTTTAAATTATCCAACCATAATGGTTAAAAATGGTTCAAAAGGAAAAATTGAAAGTTGAAAAATCTAAAAAAAGACACCCTACTAGTAGTTGAACTAGACTTCTGAAGAACTTTTATAGTTAAATTCTTTTGAGTCTAGAAGTCTAGTCTCTAGTTTGGTTTTTTTTCTTTTGTTGTTAGAGATGTTTTGGTTTTTTTTCTTGTATGTTGCTAATTGTGTGTGTGTCAGAGTAAGAAATAATTTTCTGTCTGCAGTAGCACTTTTAGGTTAGGATTCGGTGTCAAATCATTGTGATGTCTTACAAAAAAAAAATTGTTTGATATTGCAACTTGGCAGCACTGGCCTGTTCACAAAACCATTTTGATTCTGTGACCAACTCTGAAGTTTCACCACAACACATATAACTGTGATTGTATTAGATCCAGCCAATGAAGTAATCCTCAAATTGATGCATGCGCAGAAGATCTTGGTGCCTGTTTGACATCGTTCAATGTACATCTGTACATGTAGATCAAGTTGGTCGTACAAATCAACAGCTCTCTAGTAAACTTTTACTTGAAAGCCCATAAGACTGAAAGATTTGCATTTATCATCTCTCAGGGTGCGTTTACTGACCAAATTTTTGGCTAGAATCAGGCTTCTCAAATGTTTTTCAGGCAAATTTAGAAGGTGATAAACGCAAAGCCTTTTTTAAAGGGCTTTAGATATGGGCATATCTAAAGACACAAAAGGTGTGTTTTGAATGTGACATACAGCCAGAATCACGTTTCTGAGAGATGATAAACGCAAAGCTGTTTTGAACCCCACATACAAATCCGACCTTCCCAGGTTAATTTCCGGTTCGGAGGCTAGCGCGCCATGTGTTGTGTACAAGCATGTGTGTGTAGTTGACCTCCGAGAAACTTTCTGCTTCCCGGATCAAACGGCGCAAAACAGCTGCGCAGACACATGGCCTTTATTTTGAATCGTGAAGAGACGATAAACGCGACATCCCGCAAATCACTTTCGTATAGTGGGGTTCGATAGTAGGGTATGATAGTGGGGTACGATATGTACTGTACATATCTAGTGGCAAGACCCATTTAATGCACCCTCAGAAACGTGATTCTGGCTGTATGTCACATTCAAAACATACCTTGTTGCGTTTTTAGATACAAATGTATGCCCATATCTAAAGACCTTTAAAAAAGGCTTTGCGTTTATCACCTTCTAAATTTGCCTGAAAGACGTTTCAGAAACCGGATTCTAGGCAAAAATTTGGTCAATAAACGCACCCTAAGTGTCCTTTACCTTGTTACACCTACTGACATGTCTTGGCACTTATCTACCCACAGTACAGGGTGGTTGTCCAATATATTTGTAATCAAGTGTCGAATGATAGCAACTTTTCATACTAAGTTTGTTGTGGGTTAGTGCACTTTATGACCATAATAAACTCTGCAATATAGACAATAGACATCACTTCATGCTTCAAGGGGCCTGCATTTATTTATTTCATCATTAAAGCTAAACTTTAGTACTGGTAATGCGATTGCATTGTGAAAGAAAAGGTGTGAAAGGATCAGAAACAGTTGATCATGTAGCATGTAAGTATTGGTGTGCACTGCAAGGTTCTGGAGTCATCAAAATCATAATAAATTTGACCGAGTCTTGGTAAAGTAACAAACACTCACATAGAAAGCTATATATGGGACAACACACATGGTGTCGGGGATGGTACTAC